GGACTGATTTATTGCTTTTAAAACAAATTGCCCATTACTTAGATAAGTTTAAGGTTAAAATGTGATTTTTTTGACTTCCATGTGTTTAGCAGTTGGTTTCAATAGATTTTTGAACGTGTATGAGCGTGACTATCTTTACATGACACAGTCGTACTTTTAATCCTTCTCTGAATAAGCTATTATATCACACAAACGTATAAGTTGTGTAAAGCAGACTCTTCATTAGATCTTTATAAACCTTTTTATTATAATAAATATTCTAGAAAATTATCAGTTCTATATGAAATTTTTAAAATACCAGAGTTCTTAGAGTATTTTAATTAGATACATTATTTTTGCATAGATCGCAAAGTGGTTTCTATATTCTTGATTTATTCAAGGGCTATATAACTCCTTATTTTATTTGATGGTCATTCGTCGCTTGGTTGCTCTTCTTTAATCAAACGGGGAGTTTACATATTTCTTCAATGCGTCTGTGCTGTTTTGTGTGTACTGGCAATTTTTTTGCATCCTTCATTGTGGGGAAATCAGATTTTATGTAAGTTCTTTTCCATGTTTATTACTATTCCAGTTAAAATGTAACTTATTACAAATTACATAAAAAGCGACATCACTACTGTCTAGAATATTTAGAAAAAGACAACCGGCCAGAGATTTGTTTTTTTCTTTTCGCATGCATTAATTGGTCAAGGGTGCCCACTGCACCTTAGTTGCATTATAATAAAGAATAATTTCTATTTCTTAATTTTGAGTGTTCTATTTTTGCCGGTGTCGATTGCATGGTCGAATATATAGAAAACTAATGATTTATTTTTCCAAAACCGAAAAAATATTTTCTCCCTATCTTTATTAGGAATCTAGCAGGGATGAATTTATAGTTTAACCCATTCCATAATAACGGCAAAGCTAACTCAATCAGTAAAATAATTATCACAAGTTTATGCAATTTATATGGTGATATGGTTTTGTTAGTCTTTAAAGCCACGCTAGTAGGTAATCCTTGTTTTCTTCGTTCATTTCCCTTTCCTAAGAATGGAAAACCATTTTGTAAATAAAAACTTTTAAAATCGCATAACCACCATATTATGTGCTAAACTTGCCTGGTTTAGCAAGCTTTTATTGTCTGAACGAACACCTACCACGAAGAGGTACTAACTGCTCGTCAACAGTTTACTACCAGGGATGTAATGTTTTTAATTATTTCCTACAATCTGATCCTATTAACTACATGTTGGAGTAACTTACCTACAGAGAGTTCTGTTCTTTTACTTTGTTCACTAAATCTGAGTGATATCAGAAGACTAGTAAAACGTCAAACCCCAATGCAGCTCCAAAAATTTGTGAGGGTTCCACAAAATTTCGTTACTTATGCTTTCAAGTTTTAGATGCCCTTGCATAGTGAAAAGTTAAAAAAAATGCTTAGATTGGTACGATGCCACAAGTTTTTATTACCATGCGAAATTGTGATAGAAAACGAAAGCTTCTCGGCTAGTGAACCTAACACTTAATTCAAAAATATTAAAAGTTAGAAAAAATAAAAATTTTGTGTTGTGAGAGAACAACTTTTTTTTAAACACAAAATATTACGCGATTTGGGCGGGGGGGGCGTGGTTGTTTGTGAAGGTGGATTGCGAGACCATGTAGTTCTAGCCGTTATCAATGTACCTAAATAAAAATAAAATTCGTTTGAAATTATCTTTTTCAAAAATGAAGGGGACCCGTCATTATTAAGGTTAAAATTAACTCCAATCTTCTTTAACAAAGAACGACAAAAAACATTTAATATTTGGAATAGGCTATATCTTAAACCAATTGTTGTAAATAAATACTTACCTACCTAAGTTTTTGCCAACTGTAAGTAAATTAAAAAAATTTAGTGATTCACTATACCGAAATATAACACTGAATTCGTAGCAATTATATTAGCTGAATTTAATTAAAAAAAAAAGATTGGTACAGAAACCAAGTAACTTTAAAAAAATATATTTTTTTCGTTAGAGTCGAACTCACAATCTTCAGTATGCGCGTCAGGACTCCTTATCGCTGAGCTACGACGACAACTCTCAACCTCGGTATGACGGATTAACGTATTTAAACTGTTAGATTACAGCACCAGTTATACCTTGTTTCAACACGTAAAATGTGAGTCTGACATCTGCGCTCAATGGAGACTCACATAAATTCGTTTAAAATAACACAGCTTTATCTAATAACATTTAAGTTCGTGTAAATAGAACATAATATGTTGAAATAGTTATGGGATTTCAACTAAAGTCTGTCTACAAAGTTTTTCTTCAAACCAGTATTTACGAGGTTTTTCTTTAAACCGAACCTATGCGATCCTTCTCTGAAGTGCCAGGCCGTAGTTAATAAACGAGCAAGAGTAAAACACCCAGCAAACATCAACAGCAAAAAAAAAACAGCTAAAAGAGAAAAAACCCTCCGCTTTATTTTTTTTTAGCACTGGAATAGTACGGCCGGCTTCTTAGCCGCAATCTGAATCCTCCTCTTCAGCAGGGATTGGAGCACGAGTGTTTACCAGTGTACGCTCTTTATAGAGCTATGAAGACTGTTTCGAAGGACTGAAAAAACGGAAAATATCGGGCCGGACTCCCGCCCTTCGACCTAATGCGGTGGAAAACCGCTAAAAACCACCACCGGAGAGACGACCTTAAACAGAAGACCCAAGACCACCTGGAGACACATGCCAGCACTACTGCCAGTCAGGCCTTCCTGATTATGAGCACCTCGCTCAAAAAATTTAATATTAAAACATTGCATCCCATGAAAATTAAGTTAAATAAAATGTATTGATTAAAATTCTGTGTCAACTAAATTGTATGCTGTAAGAAAATCATATAGTTGACATAATATAAGTGCAGAATAAGGATTAATAAATGTCATTTGACGAATAGGTAAGACCAAAAAACTCACTTTAACCGGGTAAAGTTTAAAATCGACAACATGGTATGGTTTCTTCCTTTAACTTTGGGACGGTATAATTATAGTAGTTAAATAATGTCCAAGTGTTCGTAGTAAGTATGCTTTTTTTAAGTGGATACCTTTTCTAAATGCTAAGTTTTTTCCTCTGTCCTGAAGGCGTGCGCATGAGCAAAAACTTGTTGTACATTATTACCATATTTGGTTGAACTATTTTTAATTGAAAACAAAATTCTAAAAAATGGAAAGACCGTAATGAGACACAGGGGCAAGAGATTTTTAATTATCCGGCTACCTTGACTGAACTTATAATCTTTACGATTTCTTTCTAGTTCTTATGCGCGTAGTGCTTCCAGGTGTAACTATAGCGTCTCTAACGCTAACACTGAAAGGGGAAGCAAGACAAAGTATTATTGAATTAGCTTGTGCCAACACCAAAGGACTGTAGCCTCAAATTGGCATAGCCTTGTAGTTATATATACACAGATTAACTTGGTGATCCGATTATAAAATATTCGCGTGCTCTTTCTAATAGTTCTTTGTTAATCGCATACTCTCTTAATAACTCTTTTTAAAAACCCCCTCTAACTGGGGTAATCTATATTATAATCCTTGTTATATTCTTTACCTATATTTAATTAGTGATAAGGAACACTCTTTCACGGCATCAAAAAACAAAGACTATATTTTTCAAATGGATTGTTTTGTAGCTCACGTTTTGTGTTCATTTCTTATTGTAATTTTTGTATAAATTTACTAACTAATAGTAAGGTAGTATAACCCCCCCTAACCCATTTCATCATTGTCATCTATATTTAATCATAGAATAGTTTAATACAATTTTCTAACTCTTCTTGTATCAAGTTATTTATATAGGCGCCACAGTTGACGTGAGGGGCTATGCTAGGGGGAGGGTTAACACCTCAAAGTTGACGAAAAGCCTTGTTTGTAAGTGGCAATTTAAGCTCTGCTGGATTTGACTTCCGACATACGGTGTTTGCGCGGTGATTAAAGATTTAAGGATATCTAAATTGTAAAAGGAGAGTCTTATCAACAAAGTAATTTGTAGAACAGTACCCTTTTCCCAGTTAATTCGACTTTACTCAGTTATCGATCGGCTACAGGCTTAGTCATTTTTACTGTTCAAGTTTAAAGCTTGCTAGATTATATTATATAACATTTTTTGCTACCAAATTAGTAAATCTTATCAACCTATTTTTTTATGCATCAAACCACGAGGGAAATAGGACATGAAAAAGTATTATAAATACACACGAAGTGTAGGTATTTTTGACCCGATCGAGAACCAAGAAATAAAATTAACTCAATTCATTATTCTTTTGTCCCTCTCGTTTTGTCTTCGGGGGCATGTTCTAGTGCTCTTCATCTACATCCTTGTGTTATTTTTAAAGGCCTTTATTGCGTGGTTAATACAAAATATATGCATGTATATATAAGTAGAGGTGGCCAAGTGACAAAAATACTACTATGTATCTTTGAGGCTATGACGCATTAATGCAGTAAAGTAGATGGCCTTCTCAGTAAGCAGATTGTGCACTCTAAATAATTACTGTCAGCTTAATAGGGAATTTCCAGTCCCCTAGTACTTATAATTTATTTTGTATTCCAAGCCACTCATATTCGAATTAGTGCTATGCTCGTCTTTTAAGATGATATATGAGGGAAATATCGCGCGGTCTTAAAAATAAAACATTCGAACGTACCCCAGCCCACTAGTTCTCTTCACTACTTTTTTAGGCTTATTGGCAGAATGTAGTCTTCTAAACTTAAGATCTTTACATGTAATAATTGTGATACTCCCGTACATATATATATTACTTAAGTAAGCTTTCCGCAGGCCCTTAAAATGTGTTTGAGTCAAAACATCTCGGCATGACCTTCCAGCAGCCTTTTTTTAAATTTTGTATTCCTTTAGATTAGCCGCGTTTACAAGCAGTTCACAGATCGTGGTCATTTTATAGTTAAAAGCACATGGCAACATTGTGTCCCCAAAATAAAAACTTTGGAGGGTTGACACTCATTCGTCTTCGTCTCTTTCTCCGGCAATGGTTTACTTTTTTTTACTAAAATTATTTATCCTCGTAGTTTTTTTTGCTTAGTTTTTTATTCATAAAAATACATGTTAGGTTAATATTCCCAAAACGCGAAGGACCATTTGCACTGGAAAATGCAAATCTCATCAAATTCATAAGGTAACGCAGTACAAAGCTGGCGCCGCCTCTCTCTACGCACAAGGAAAAAGACGTTACGATAGAAAGCAATCTGGTTATGGCGGTCAAACTAAGCCTGTATTTCGTAAAAAGGTAAGTCGTATCCCATAATACTGGCTTTGTCGTATGTGTGTTTGATAATATTTAGATCTTACACTTTAATAATAATACCTTTTTTAAGACTTATATTTAATAATAATAAAGCATTCTTTTTTGCTAAAATATTTTACATTTATTAACTTTTTTGCAGATAAAGGTTCATAAAAAGGTTTCACTTCGTTTAGAATGTCAGAAGTGTAAGCGCAAGAAGCAGATAAAGCTTAAACGCTGTAAAAATTTCGAACTTGGCGGTGAAAAGAAGAGGAAAGGGCAAGCTATTCAATTTTAAACCTAATTAGAACTCCTTTCATTTTATTGTTCTAGGTTAAATAAAAAATTTCTTACTGTATTTTTGTGTATATATTGTATGTTTAGGTAGCACTTAACTTTAGATGATAATATTAATAATTTTTACCGTGCAGTTGTAGCAACTTATATTATGGCCTCTAATTCGCATTTTTAAGTGAAGCGGTGGTAGTGAGTTGGCCTTTATAATTCTTTTTAGTGTTTTGTTGTTTATAACTTTCTCGTAGTATATGGTAGATCTGCCTAAACTAGTTTTTTTGACCCTTATACCTCAACTAACGTTAAGCATTTAATGGGAAAACGCATTATAATGTTATTCCCACGTGCAAGCGCATCCGCTCGTTTTTAACTTTTTGCTTAATCTTAGCGGTTACACTTTCTGTCACCGAATATTAAAACTTTGTAAGAGAAGGCGGTAGTCACACGAAGGGGACTACCACATGTTGTAAACCCTTTGCTTAAATATGGAAAAGTAATTGCAGCAAATAACTTTGGTGACCATAAGACCTCTTTGTAAAGTTATTCTATCACACTTTTACCTACTTTATAACGACAATTCTATATTATACGTACACTTTTTTATAGTAGATATTTTCCGGCATAGATAAACTCACTTGGAAAAATACCCTATTACCCTACATAATATACAACGACAGAAACTTATATGTAAAAAATATAAATGTAGAACCAAGAGAGTCACCACAAGATTTAATTTTTTTTTTTTGCATTTAAAGTCGCCTATTAAAAGAAAGCTATATTGCTTTCACATATAAAGTACCGTTTTTTTAGTAAAACTGTGGTCTATGTCCTAGACCATTGGCTGCTTAACGGTAGAGGTCAGTCTCTCCAATCAGGAGAGACAGCGGACTAGACTATAATTAGAGAGTGTTGGCTATTAAACCCCGTGCGAATTATGAGAATACCACTCTTTCAATACGTTTACCCATGGCGTTTGCTCTCCTTCAGGCACGGGGTGTATTTTCCTTTTTAACCGATTCTTGCTTATAGCGGTTATTATAAACCTTAAAACTGTGGGAAGGCGACGTGCTATTTATGTAAGATGCTTGCCCTTGAGAAAGATTCTATTTTGTATAGGCTAATATTCCAAGCTAATGCTTTTTTTTCCACTTTCACACCCACAACTGAAGCTTGTAACGAACTTGAAAATCTTGTAGCTTCTTATATAGCGAATGATATATTATTCTTTATGTTAGTTTTTATTTATCACTAATCTTATACCGCATTATAAGATGAGAAAAGCAACTTGCAAGGATCTATTTATAACTTTAAACCGGGTTCAAAAGAGGTAGTATATTTTTTGTATACACGATCATTCCACGCATTTTCTTTAAAATATATTTTAAATATATCTAATTTACAGCTATTAAACATCTATTGGTTTTATAAAGGCCACCTATTTCCTACTCTTCGATAGTTGAAACGCAAAATTTTTCTATGGGAATTTTTTATTTGAAGGTTTTTTTTATTTTGTCACTGTTGTATAATTTTCTTTCTTTGTTTATAGGAGGGTTACCAGATCCCCCTCCATGACCACCCAGGAATGACTGTTTTTAGTAAAGTTATGCACGGTAGAGTTCACGTTCGATCTTTTACCTGGAAAGAAAAAGATGTTTCAAATAAGCCCTCTACCTTTATAACAACCGAAAAAGACGGTTCTTAATTACCTTATTTATATCAATTTTGGCGGTTTCATTTTCTATACTTCGTTAGAATTTTATAGGTTATTTAATATTTATTTTCACGGGAGCTTAAATAAATGCTTGCTAGTTGCAGTTAATCTTTTCCATGTACGCTATATTACGATATTATAGGAGGGGTCTGAGTTAGCCTTTCCGGTGGCTATAATACTCAGCGCTCTTCCTTTAGTGGTTATAACTCGTTTAACTATATTCAATATTGTTAGAGGAAAAGTATTGTTTTAACTTTTGTGTTCAGTAGCTAGTACGCTTCTACGAATTTTATTAGGTATGCTTCTCCGCGAGGCCGTTGTTATTGGTGATTATGTAATTAATTCTTCGGACGAAAATTGTTTGTTAAAGATAAGCCCCTTCTCTGCGAATTTGCACGCTATCACCGCTATTTCAGATTGTTGCTTTCTCGATATACTGGGCCCGCCTTACAAAGGTGCCAGTTTTATGTGGTTGTATTTGTACTGCAAATTGTGCTTGGCTCCTCATAGTTGGAGAGCGCGATTGTCATTACTACGAGGAGATTGAATTAGTCTCTGGTGGCCAGCCGGACGGTAGCATTTGTAGAACTGATTTCATTGTGCCCGCCCGCAGTAAGCACGGCTCTCGTGTTTTTACCAGATAAGACGTCTGTTTATTTAGCCGAATTGGAAGAAAATGGTTATTATTGCGCCTGTGTTCCTTATTCCGGCCCAAAAATTGGGATAACGGGTTACTGTTAATAAGCCGAAGCAGTGTATACGTTTGCGATATTGCATCTTTTAGATGACATCCGCTTGTTTTCTTAGAAGAGCATGGAGTCAGGGTACCTTGATTACTTTAGTTGGAGGTAGCCTTGTTACCACGTATGATAAAATAAAAAAATTAGCGGCACTCAATGATAAAGCCTATCTGCCTATCTTCCTCTGTATATCCCTCTTTAAGGCGTACTTCATAATAAATTTTCAAAAAATATAACAATCGTTGTACTAAAACTTGCTACAACAGAAGTCTTTTACGAGATTTGATCGCTTTGAAGCTAATTTGAATTAGTTTAGTCAGGTATGTATAAAATAGTGGAACGAGGCTAAATTCTGAGTACCTTTTCTTATAAATAAAGAGATTTGCAGCAACAGGTAGTACTTTAAACACTTTACCAGTATTTTAGGGTTTTATAAACTTATCAATAGATGATTGCTTTAAAAAAGCACAGTTGAAGGGTACTATAAACTTTCTTAGTTCACAATTCTTGAAAGATACGTTTTCTTTGCAGTGGAGTTTAAAAAAGGCCTTAAGAAAATCGTGGTGGGTGACGACGGCAATATTTCTTTCAGGGCGCATCTGTGTGTTTAGAGTAGGCAACGGTCGACTTGGAGGTACATAACATCACAGAGCCCGTCTAACCCGGAGCCACTCAAGAAAGAGTAGCGCTCGACGACGCAGTGATTCGATCCCCTCTCTTACTTTCGGTTTCCACGTTTCGTCGTTCTCCTGTAAGTATGGAGGGTGCCCATCTATTTGCAATTGTTTAAGTTAAATTATTACGCTCTCGAGAAGATCGAACGCAACGGAAGGATAGAGCTGCTCTAGCTGCGCTAACGGTGATCTTCGATCGCAAGGATGGACGCCGTGTCTCTCTCTGACAAGCTCAAGGGCCACTATTTGGACGTTACTTAAAAATCAAGCTTATTAGCTAGATTAAAGTTAAATCAGACTGCGAATAAAAAAAATATAAGCCATACAGATCGCCAAAAAGTCCAACAGCTGTCTGAATGGCGCGCTTCAGCGGAGAAGTAACTACTAACTCACATTCAATGACCTGTTAATACAGCCGAATATAACAAAGTAGGCTCCTTAGCTAGCGCATAGTAAGATTTGAGAAAATTTATTCTAACGCGTAGAAATCCGAAGAAATAGTAGTTTATTTATTACTTAAGTTAGAATGGAAATTTAGTATTACAATAAGCATATATAAACTTAAATGAAATTATAAATAAGATTTAGGTTTAAACTTTAGTTTAGTTAAGGTTTACGAGGGGGCCTGTATCCACTCAACTTTATAGGCTACCTTCGATTTTAGTCTAGTTTTTAAAATAGAGACTTGTGCATAACCATGCTCATTTAATTCGGCATCCATATAATTATAGGATAGATAGGCAACGCGACCTAACTATAGTAAAAGAAAAAGATAATTTCCTCTTAAAAAAAAGATGAGTTAATCTTCTCCCTTTCTGGAGGCTTCGTTATGGTAACCTTCAGCGTGTCTAACAAAATATACGTTTTTAGGGACGTTCATATATTAGCTTATTGTCTTTAACAGTTACGCGCCTTTCCGCAAATATGTTGACTTAAAACTTTACATGCGACTAAGCACTCTCTCGGTAAGAACTCCAAATCTGCTAAGCGGTCAGATGAGCGCTCATCTCCACCGCAGTTTTTGTCTTCTGTAAAAGGATTTAATTAACCAATAAACATAAAACTAATAACGTAAGTTAATAAGTTAATACTTCGGAGTCTTTGTAAGCCTATCATGGCATCAGTCTTCGTAATATTAGACTGCTCTGGCCTCTCCTGTTCATTAAAACAAAGTAAGTGTTTGATAAATTTTAGTGTGCAAAGCTATCGATATAATATGAATAAAAATTATTTCTTAGAAAGTGTAAAAGTATATAAACTGTATTCAACAAGTCAATCAGAAATTTAAAGAAGTATACTTTTAACATTAGCTACGATGTTCTGGGATCCCTACTTGCAATAATTAAAGTTAACTCTTCTGATGCTAATTATTAGTTTTTTTTTTAATAAAACCATTTGAAAAGGATTTGTGCTCTACTTAGTCCCCACGCCGTGATTACGTTACCGCTTTAAAAGAGTACAACCCGTTAGCGATAAACTAAAGTAGTTAAAGGAGGAATTTCAGTTTTTTTTTAAAGGACCTAGCTTATTATACTGGGCGTTAAAAAATTAACTCAATAATTGAAACTAGTATAACATTAAAAAGTGAGTAAATCCACATTTTTATTTTAACTATTTTATAAAACACGTTACCTACGCCATATACTTAGAGTGGCTTTTCTTCGAATATGTAAATAATAGTTGTGTACAACAGTATGCGCCGGAGGCTTAAATAAGTTTGCGAGTAAAGGAATATAAACAACTCTTTGCAAGACCTCAAGCGATTTAAATTCGTGCCAAGTTTATGAGGCTTAAAGTGTAGTGGATAGTTTTGTGTTCGTTTTTAAGGGGAAGTTATTTATACTCAAGAAATTATAAAGTGCCTCAGGGAAGTTTAAGACTTATCTTTGCCAAATTTTATCCTGATCTATAAAGCATGAAATCCTAAATTAGTACTTAAATTACGTATCTACTAGTTGGAAGCATCTTTAAAAGAACTTTGTCTAGTTATATTGTAAAAAAAAAAAAGGGTTAATTCGTTTCGTTGCAATGTGCTCAGTTCCACGGTACGATTGTACATACTATTGTAAAATAAAAAGTAACACAAGTAGTTTCAAAGGCAAGGTTTCGACTTATATGCCGTTTGCGAACCCTATCAGTAAATAATCCACAGCCAAGAGGTGCTATGAATGATCTTAGCTCTTCCAAATTGGTTTTAATATTTAAGACGTTATTTAATAAAAGTTACAAAAAATGTAACGGACTTCGCAATCGACTCTATTCGGTAAGCGCTAATATAATCCTCTACCATCCGCTTTAATCGCAATAAAATCTGATCAAGCAGTATCTCTTGCCTTATATAAAGAAAAATTAGGCTGTAGCTAAATAAACCCGATAAGCTATCACGCTCAGCCCTCGTGAGTAGTAATACCCCTTTAGAAATATATACAGGTAACCACTTGCGCTCAACTTAAGATTATGCAGTTTGCGCTCGACTTACAGAGTTTCCCGCAAAAGTCTAACAACAATAGAAATTAAAATGAAACACGGGACTGATGGTTGAGTGCAACACTTTTGCTTTTATTAATTAAAGTTCTCAAGTGTTTTAAAATTTTTTGCTTACTAAAAAAATAAGCACCATCAAGGTATGGTGGGCTCCCTGCAAAAGAAAACTTTCACTTGACTTAGTAGGTAGCATTTATTCAAAAAAAAAGCGTCTATTCATGGCTTTTTGTATCCTTTTTTGTATCCTTTTTACTTTTAAAGTAAAGAACTTCATTTTGCATTTCAAAGGAGAAGTAATCAGTGAAAATGTCATAAGCGGTTGAAGCATGGCCTTCTACAAAGCTCAACTTATAAGATTTTTCTAAAAGTATTCTCCGGTCTAAAGAAGGATAAACAAGTCTGCTCGATATATATATGAAAATTAAATTTGGACCCCAATCTATAGAGAGCACAGTAAACCTAAATGCACCCGAATGCGCTAGTTCATTGGCCAGTCTCAATACTAAACGTTTTACGGCCGGGACTAAGCATAACGAGGTCATTTCCGCTGAAGCACACAAAAAGTTATACCGCCGTTCGATAGCTTTCTGGTACCTGCAAATGATGAAATAGGCTAGCTAATTAGAGTATAACCACTTTACGCTTCATTATATCCGAGAACGCCGGTTAAAAACAAGTAGTCACCGTAAATTTCGTGTAATAAACGTTCATCAAAGCTGTCTTGAAGTTCTTTGCGATCCAAGTCTACAGTTATATAAATGTTTACAGAGACAAATTGAATACTGTTATTCTTAGGAAAGAAAAACCCAAATCAAAGTCTATATCAAAAAGGTGAGGGTTCAGCTTTGAATCATAGGCGACGTTAAAAACCAAAAGTTGATTGGCGATACCACAAACAATAGGAAGCTCTTTCGAAGTACAACCTACACTCGGAGCGAAAATATTTTTATAAAATGCTTTGTGAAACTTTCCCCATAAGGAAGACCGAGTTTATCAGTAAAGGTCAGCACACCGCGGACAACGAGATTCTCGGTGTTTTTCCATATACTGGCCCATTGATGACAGCCAACAACACCGGGGAGATCGTCAAAAGTCTTCCACTGGATCCCGTGCAGTGAGACAAATAATATTGAAAGGTGACCATAAAACCAGTCAACCATTGTAAATTCCTCTCCGCGGAATCTACGCTTCCTCGTGCCAGTGTAACGAGCAATTTTAATCTTGGAATAGTTCGTTAATTTCTTAAAGACGAGTGAAGTAAGCAAGGCAAACCTGGCCAGATGTGTGAACATATATTCTTAACGGGTTCACTGAGGTGATCAGAACGAAGATACGTAGAAGAATTTTTCTTTTATTGAATAGAAAAGGGGCGCTTATGTCTTCTTGAACAACACTTTTCTTAAAGCGAAATATATATATTTAAACAGCCTGGCTACGAAGATTAAATGCAACTCGCCTCGCGATACCCTGAAAAAAAATTTTTTACTTCAGAGAAGTTTTGGAAAAGGCGAGTTTGTAAAACGGCGGATTTCACACATGGCCTTCCAATCCATCTTTTTTCTTAAAATGAAGAGACGAAGTGTCAGTGCAATACTGAGGAAATTATATTAGTTTCCTACTCGAATCAAACTGTTCCTTGCGAAATTGGTTGTACTGCTCCGGCAAGACATAGCAAGTCAAAAGGCCTTGACTTTGTAAAACCGAAACAATTTCTCACGAAGAGTTGCGACAAAGCAAAGGGACACACCGTAGGACACCTGTAGTTTGGGTAAGCTCGTATAAAACGCTGGACATTTCTGCAGTGTCTATCCCTTCGAAAGTTTTCCTCCCATTCGCCCCTTGTAAGGTTCACTGCAAAAAATTGTTAGCTATATACAGTTGATGTAGCGCTATCAACCGGGAAGGTAAACCTCGCTGTTTAGCCGCATCCACGCCATCATATTGAAAGCTGAGCGCTTTTAATATCTCAGAAAGCTTATTTTGTTTTCCAACCCAAAAAAGTTGCCAGAGAGAGTGGTTATAACTGCCACTAAAAGAGTCAACAGGAATAAAGCTAATGTTCCAGGTTTCAAAAATTTCTATAATAAGGGAAACTTTAGATAAATTCATAAGCTGAAACTCGAGAAGTAAATTGGGTCACACAGGCAATCCGAGTGTAGAGTTCGATGTGTTTATCCCCTGGCTAATAAAGTAGTTGCTGCCTCTTATTTTTAAGCGGCGAGCCTCACTCCTACAACTAGTCCTGGTTGAGCTGCAGGCCTCGAGCATAAACGACAGTTGGTCGTCGATCAACAAGGAAGACAACCATTTTCTATGCAGATGAGGGGTAAACTCGTCCTGGACATCTTCAAAGCCCCAAGTAAGTAGGGTAGCAGACTCTTTGCTGGCTAGTGGTTTTTGTAGAACGAGGGGGAAAAGAACCGCATCTACTGAAACAATATACCATACGAAGAGTATCTCGCCCAATAGCTGTAGTACTCTTGGATGCGATTACGGCGCCAAGGTTTGCGAGGGCCGTTATAATGTAATAAATTTGCTTTAAGTATTGTTTCCTGGTTAATGCCTTCCTTGTGGCCTATTGCAAGAGGAACTGATAATACCATTCTGGACAGGCACAAGGGGTAGGCAGAACCCAAGTGACGAACATTCCAAGACTTATTGATTTCTTCGTAGTTTTTATAGAAAACTAAAAGTAGGGGCGGTTGTGAACCAAACTTATAGATGGGCTTTTCCAAATTCAGTTCCAGCCAGCTGTAGATCTTTTCACCTAAAGCAAATGCTGACTATTATATCTCAAAAGCTGAGTAGTCTCTCACTTATGTTTTGGGCAGCCCACTGCTTCAAGTTGATGACCAGTACACCAGCGTTAAAATAAGGAGTATTCCAGTCAATTCTGACCTCAGAGCAATAAATAGTTAGTTAAGCTCGCTTTGATATTGATTATTATTGAAGTTATGGAATGTTAAAAAAATAAACCCGGGAATGGTGGTATCCAGTATAAATTTTTTGTACGTCTCATCTTTAAAACCAGAAACAGCAGCTATCACATGGTTACTAGCAAATAGAGTGTTTGACTTCCTCTTATTAAAAAAAAAGAGAAAACCCATTCTTCCTAAGATACTCATCATATAGAAATGCAATATCTCCTTGAACAATAGTATCCGGATCGAGATATATAACTTTGTGGACTTCTGGAAGAAGAGACACGAGTTGAAATCTAAATATCTAATAGAGGATATATAGACAGCAACAGAGTTAAATACGTACCTTATAAAATTCATAGAGCTATCCAAATTTTGAGGACCAACCCAAACTTTATGTTTAGGGACCGAGACCAAATTATAAGGAATTAAATAAAAGTTCGGCCCTTTATTAACTGTAAGAGGAAAAAAAAGCTATCCTGCTTGAAATATTGGGAAGAGTAAGAATCATACCCCTTAAAGTGTTGTTGTAAGCCATAAAATTTTCAAACGACTAAAAAAATAATAAACATCAGAGAGAAACAATCAGATAATACAATATCATAATAAGTGTTATATACTCGTCTTATATATACGATGCTGTTATCATATTCATTTCTCAAGAGTTTTTCTACTCGGAACAGCATAACCTCCTCAATAATTAAATAAAGATGTAAACGTGAATGCGGTAGCGCTGTATTCTGTAGCAAAGAATTAATGCAAGCAAAAGCAGGTTTTATATATGATTTTCCGAAAGCTATTACAACGGCAACTCCAATTCTATTTAACAAGTATATTAAAATATCTTTAGATTTATGAATGCTGAAGCTTCAATAAAACTAAGTACGCGACCTTCCTTTATTTTTTTCGGAGTCAAGTGGTGGGCCTTTTTTTAAGTTTTTTACAAAAATTAAGGGTGATAACGTCATATATAAACTAAATAATATACATTTTAATACATTATTTTCAAAACAGCATACTGAGGGGGTTAGTAATTATAGAACAACCTTTTAAGCGCAAAAAAGGCGAAAACGTAAAAAACAAAGATTAATATCTTCTTCATTATTAAACAATTTATACATCTTATTTTTAAACTTATGGAGCTTTTCTTCCCCACTTGCTTATAAATCTTTAATCCTGGATAGCGACTTCACATTAAAATTAGTTACTGTTTAGCTAGGAGATACCAAGCTCTCATACCCAGAAACGTCAGCATTTAGTTTAGTTTTAAAAGGTAACATGTCCTAATAATTACTAGTCAAGATAATATTAATCTAAAATACAAAAGAGTAGGAGTTTTGGAAAGATAACGCGATAACAACAGAACTGTAAATCGTATATTTCTTATCTGGATAAGATCTTGTTCAACATGCATGAGGGCTTAGGGGTAACAAACGCTGGCGGGAATATCCTTTTTTTCCCCTCTCCTTCAAGGCTTAAATTATTTTTAAAGTGCTTCAATTACTGTTAATAAGTTCTCCAGAGGCATTAAAACATTTTTATCATTTAAACAGAATATATACTGTAAATAACTTTGTTTAAGACCTAAAGGTCTTTGTTCGTATCTGCTGCTTGCAAAGCGGAGTTTAACTAAATGTATTGGTTGTGCCCGTAATTAAAAAGTCGTATGCCTAAAATATCCGACGCAAGATTGTTTCATAATTGATTTTACGTCCTGAATTTTAACTTTGGCGTGATAATCTACTTTAAGTTTCACCTAGTGACCGGCAAAATAAAATTTTCCACTATTTCTCTACCGCATTGCTTCTTCTCCGGTCTCATCCTACTATATTTAATTTTAAAAATTACTGTATTCACTTTAAAAGCGTAGAATTTTACAAACTTGTGCTTTGTTTCCTCTGCGTATACGCCGGCAAATTACAACTAGCTTTGAGTCCCACTATATACGGATACCATGGGAGCACTCCCTCGAGGCTGCCAGCAGAGGTTACCAATCTTTAATTTTTGTCTTTCTCTGACCTCCAGCAAAACGAATATTGCTATTTGCTGAAGCTAGCCAGGATAGAAAGACGTCAATGCTATTAAATGAAAGTATAAAAGTTGCATTTAGAAAGGCATTACTCTTTCAAAAATAAGTAAAAGCATCTAGTCTCAACTGCATTCTTAGCACTAAATAAGGTTGAAGTTTCGAGTATTTTCCCCTTTAGAACTGCGCAAGTTCAACTTAGACTGAAAGGAATTGGTGCCCTCTTCTTATTTAAGTACTTGTTTTTTGTGTGAGCTCGTGACGAGTGTGATGAACTTGCGCGAAGTTGTAACAAAGGTGCTGGGCTCAATGAAGAGCCCCGGTCCATGTATTCCTTTGTCTTCAAAAAAAATTAGATTTTTATACCAACCATGTCAATTCTTTGAAACCTTACGGGTTTCTAGTTTTCACAATATTTTAAGGACTTAATCTATTTTTGAATGTTTAGAAAGGTATTCAAAACTCCAAACGTCGGATTACTTTGGCGTCTCTGTATTTAGGAGACGGCCCGATGGAAACTATACTGGTTTTACTAATTATAAATATTTGCTTGTAAATATTATTTTTACCTAGCTTTATTTACTACTTTATCCAAGTATATTCAATGCTTTACCCTTTCAAGGTCACGGACTTATGTAACGCAGCACGACGAGGAATTAAGATAAATGTTTTACTGGATTTTTTCAGGGGTACTCGCGGCCTTGTAAATTCGGCTTCTTTATTGGCACCACTTACTGCTTTTCAAAAAGTAAATGGTATTTTCTTATATTTGTACCTATACCCATTTGATACTCTGTAAACTAACTTTGAAGCTACTACTATGTATGCTCTTACTTTAAATTACCTTTAGTTAGATTTTTTCGCACACCGGAAATGTCGACAACTCTTATGAAGCTGCTTCCCTTTAGAGTCAACGAAGTAATTGGACTACAGCATATGAAAATATATTCTTTCGATGATGATCTTCTTTTAACGGGGTTTTATCTGCTTGGCCTAATTTTTGGTTTTTCTAACAATATTATTGTTTATAGCGCAAACTTAAGTCAATCATACTTTACTGCTCGGAAGGACAGATACATTTTGTTTGTAAAGCACCCACAGTTAAATAATTTCTACACGGAATTAGTGGAGTTGGTGATGAGTATTTCATTCCGCCTTAGCATAGCTCGGTGCGGTTTTTTAAGTACAGTTCCAGGTAAATACTTCTTAAGGGCTGCCACTTATTATCGGCATGGAAATTATACGGCAGGTTTGGTGAAGTGGGAGCTTTTGCCGCCGCAGGGGAGCCTCGGTGGCTCCTCGGTTCTTTCGCTTCATATACACTACTTTGTGATACACCAGTCACCCACCCTTATAGCAGCCAGGCGATTATAAATCTTATGTAAAGACTGTTCTTTTGACTTATCTCGATAGGTATCTATGATTTGCTACTCTCATTCCTTGCAATATTTGTTATATTAATCTTTCATAGAAAAAGTCTTGAACACAGTCTTGAATCGTGCAAGGACTCTGACTCGGTGGCGCTTCCTTTACTTCAAACAAAAGCATTGGGCATAAGCCAGGTAGGTTGTTAACGAGCGAGTTTGGCAGGCTTCAATAGCCTTAACTTTCGTTAGGACTACGAGGCGCTTACTACCATGTTTTCTTTGCTTAGCCCCTACTCCTCTGTGGTCCTTTCTACTGGTACCCTTTTCTCTCCGTGTAATCTTCAGCCCCCCACTGTTATTGTGACACAGCTTACTTCAATTTGCCCGAAGAATTGCAAACTTTATTAATCCGTTCACCAGCCTGCACTGCCGTAGTGACCGCAGCGCCTCAGGTTCAGCCCGCTGCTATACTTTTTCGTGGTCACCACTCTCACGCTGTACCCAGGCAAACAGTTTCCATGAATCAGGAGGGCTTTCGTCTTGGATTCCTCTAATATACTCGTCTTTGCTGAAAGGGTTTTATCAGAAAACGTTGACTTCCTGCGGTCGAGTAAAACTTTATGAGTATTTTGCTGAGAAAACTACTTTTCATTGCAAGGTTTTGCAAAATTCTGCGTTTTTATTGCTTGTTAATATCCCAGCGAAGGGTTTCTGGGCGGAACTAGGCTCAGGAAATCCCATCGCTATAAGCTTTATAGGATCTTCTAATTATGGTCTGCAATTCACAACTTGTTGCTTCCCTTGCAGCGTTTCCATTGCTAATTTCTGTAGGTCACAGGTCTATTCATCGCGATTTAGAAGCGCAACTTCTTATGATTACCAAAAATCCTAAACTCCAGCGTAGTTTGAAAAAAGTTCCCTTTTTTCCTGTGAGAGTGCGGGGTTTTGTGTCTGTCAACTGCTTTTATTGTGCAGGAGAAAAAACTCCTTTTCCAAAGTACCACGCCAGTCGATGAAAAAACTTTTTCCAAGGTTCTATCTCTTTAGCACTTATCAACTGTGTATTACCCTGTTACTACTTTTAGGCCGACAGAAGGACTTTTTGGGCGGACTTGGCGGCCCCTCTCATATACACTTTTTTATGACTTGCTTGCTGCGACGGACTTTTTCTCTATAGTTTAATGGACTTCGTCTACCTCTAAACAGATGTCTTCTACGTATTTTCTTTTAGCATACTTAAACCCAATGGAGACTGCGCTCCTCTTTTCCCTTATGTTCATAGCGTCTCATGTTTGTGCGAACTCTAATGCGTTATGCCCAAATACTTAAGACTGCTGAGTTGGCCGCTGTTATTCCTGCCTATTCTTACGCTTAGTTTCTACTTTTCTTACTGCTGTGCTAGTCTTCTTCGCTTGGCCTTTCTTTGTTGCTCCATTATAACTCAATTTTAAGTTACTTACTTTACAGACTCTGCCTTATGTCCTTTGCTATGTATCTCCTATTGTGCCTTGTTAACGCACAGCTCCTTGTAGCAGTTTTACTTTTCTTTTAATATCTACTCTCTTGTTTTACGGCTGCTTATTACCATTCACACTCCATCCTCATTATCCTTTTACCGACTTTCTATTTTTTACCTTACACTATAAGAGATGAGTGGAGTCGAAAGTCAGCCGATTCAACCTTTATAATGATGCTCGTGTTGGTACCCATAATAAACTTTTTATTAATGAGGCAGCGTTCGAATATTGTGAGTAAAATTAAGCGTAAGAAACTTTTGTTACTATAAGCCGGGGAGCGTTTACAAGAGGATGGAGCTAACATCCCTTGATGATTGTATATGTTCATTACGCCAGCCTTTTGTTAATAAATGTGCAAACGTGCTTTACTGGCCGTATATACTCGCCTGTGTTACTCGAAAGTTAAAAGGTCACGGTGTACACGGCATGGCTCGGCAGAATCTCGAATATTTTTACTTTTAACTGAAAGAGGATTGTATAATGAAAAATCTATACAAAAAGTAAAAAAAAGGAATAGCAAGTACAGAGAGAAAGACCTGCTCGAGGTTACCAAAACCATGTGTGTGCTTCAAAACTCGAAGGGGAATGTTACCAATATGTACTAGCAAGAAAACCCTTAGCCTTAAAAAAATAGGCAGTAAAAGGCAACAAGTTATAAGCAATAACTGGAGGAAAAAAGTCCGACAGCACGCCACCCATACCTACTGCTCTGCACTTAATATACCGCAATTTTTTGACACAATAGAAAGATACTTTAGCAGTGCGCATTGACAGATTCTTTATTGTAGAGTCCACAAGAAAAAAAGAAAGAAAATGCAAATGTCGCCTGAACTATAAAGTGGAGGTATTTTTTATGTCCCAAAGCTTAATGGCGCCTGAAAAAGTGTCCAATGGAAGAGCAGTATAGATGATGAATTACTACGGACACTCACAGTCGTAGCCAGCAGTCAGCACCGTCCTCTCGTCCACAAAGACTACTTTGGTAACGTTATCGGTGTGGGCCCGCGGCACCATAACTGGCCTCTTCGGGTTCTCCAAGCTCCAAACAATCACTTGACAGTCGACTCCACCAGTGACTAGACACCTGCTGTCCGGCGACCAGTCCAAACAGGTTATCTTGGTCGTGTGATTAGTCCAACGATTGTCTTTAACTAGAAGGGCCAGATATGCTGAAAAGGGAGGTATATTGCCGATAGTAGAAGGACCTTCGTAGGTGTCAGTAGGAAGCAGGCACACGTAACTGGAAGAGTCTCCAGACGCCAAATATCGGCCTTGACAAAGTTGTGATACAGACTCAGAAATACGTCTCAATAGCTTTAAGTACCATCGCTGGAGTACTTAAGGGTAGTCACTTCTCCGTACAGCGAGATAGTACGCGTTTCTGCCAGCTGACCATCTTCAAAGTAGAGAAAGAAGAAAAGAGTTGTTATTTGCAGGGTGCTTATAAAGGTGTTTAACGCACCCTTCAAGTGGTAAACATGTATTTTCTGATCTTTCCCACCAATCGCTATGGTTTCACCGTTTGGATGAACTGCAGCGCTAGCCGGGCTGTACGAAACGGACACGGAGTGCTGCTTTTTTCCTTCCTGGTATTCTTTTCATTATAGTGCTGGAAGTTGCCATGTAATTGCATTGTTACCCGATATATGTCGATGTGGGAAACGCAGGCCAACCCTATGGTCCCGCCTTTACAATCCATCGAGACTGGGGTAGCTTAAGCAAGCAGAAAGCTAAGCGAGTATGAAGAGGAAAGGGACGCTCACGTACAAGAGCATTCCAGCGAGACACAGGCGCTACCGTCCCCGTCAGCTGGGCTAAAGCAGATAATCCTGTTCTGGTCTATAACTTTTTGTTAATAAAGAAAACCACATTCGTATATTCAGGTTATAAAACCTGCAGATACGATCTTATTTTCGCAGATAAGTACATCGCAAACGGCAGTCTTGTGTTTCGGCCCTTTGAAGATAGTGGCTACGGCTGTGTCGATATTCCTGGTAGAGGTGCAGTGTTGTTTAACCAATTTTATAGGATAGTCACTTGAACGGATACCAGACGCATATCAGGCCTCCCTGACAGGCTGAATAAAAAGTCGACCCGTTTTTGCCTAAACAAAGACCCGAAATGTTTTTCATATGGCCATACAGCATCCGTTTTGGTGTAGACGGATTGTTCCTGTCCAAATAATTGATCCATCCGCCCAAAGCAACGGAAATCAGCGTTTCACCTAAGTTGAATAGTATATATAATGCGTCCAGCAAAAGAGGCAGTTCCATTCGCTAAACCCTGCCAAAGACAGCCAAGCTGCTGGTCTTCAATAGAGGATCCCATGAGAAACTGGCAAACTTCAGCGCCGCTAACAACGTTCCATATTTTACAAGTTTTGTCCGTCGAGGCAGTGAGAAGCATATCGCCTTCTGGCGACCAGGATAAGCACATGACACTGCCTTAACGCAGTAGTAGTGGCGGGGAGGATGGTGAGGGCATAACCTTTAATATCATACTTTGATGAGCTGGCGATCCCATCTCCCTCACTAGTTCTGCGCAGTCACCGCGGAAGAGAAAAACTCTGCCATCGGCTCCTTTTTATAAAAATTTAATTATATATACTTAAGTGCATAAAATAAGTGACCTGCCGAAGCAAAAAACTCTCCCGAAGGTGAAAACCGGAGGCAGAGAACGTAGCGAGAATGATTCTTTAATAACTTAGAGATTTTAACAGGAAATGCAGCGTGAAAACCGATAAGGTTGTCGTCGCCTCCAGTAATAACTCTTGCGTTTTCGCTTGCTTAAGAATAACTCACAAGCGACGGTGAATCGCTTACCTAAAGGGTCTACTCGCTCTGCAGTCAATCGTGTTTAAAGGTTTTTCGTGGCCAGAAATCTCCCCAACGCTGTTTCCAGAATCCCACATGATGGCAGCCCCAAATCTATAAATCAGATTCGTTTACGTGAGTTGTTGAATAGAAATCACACGGCTTCTAAAAAAGTAAAAAGACGCACACTGTTCTTCCGCTACCGCAAACGACGATTCTCTGACTATCGTTGGACCATTGTAGATCTTTGATCCTACCGTTTAGTTTACAATACTCAGCCTTTAAACTGTGTTCGCTGCTTTGAGCATCCCAAATGCGAATCTATGAGGCAAATTTTTTTTAAAGGATTTTAAAATGAATTGTAAAATGGTCTACTAAAATATTGAAAAGGCGAGTAAAAGTGTTTATATTCAACCTTATGCCCTTGGTTGCTTTAAAATATTTTAATATATGTAAGTGTGTGTAGCTCTAATATCAACAAGTGTTATAGTCTACTAATAAAAGCACAAAATCGAATTCATGTGAAACACAAAGCTGTTAAAAATAATTTCAAGGGGAGATAAACTTTAATGTTTTTAGTTATAACTAAATGAAAGCTAGAATAGGAGTTATTGATAATAAAGTTATAGGCTTACATTCCCAGCAACGTCGGCGGAGCAAATATAAAAACCACTCGGAGAGTATCTTGCCACGGAAGCGTTGACTTTATGACCATAGTAAAGTGTACAATTTTTAGGATTCTTTTAATATGAATATATTATTGAGTATTGCTTATAATAATGTGAAAATACACAGAAAATATTAATTAGGGATCTATTAAATATAATATTTAATTTACAACCTCTAAATCTCGGATAACAACATTCTTTCCACAGGTATATAAAAAATTTTTCTTGTTTTTATAGTCTCCACCGAGCAATACATTCTCCCCTAAAAAAAAATTGAGCTTCTTTTTAAATTACAAATTTTAATATTACCCCTAACTACAGAAGGCAAAGGCCCAAAAACAGTCCTGAGCTCTAAAGACATCGCTGAAAGAGAATAATAGACCTTTAGAAAGACTCACTTTATATGAGAGCTAAACCACTAACTGAAATTATCTAGACGTTCCTATTTTAGGAAAGTCAAATTCAAACTGGCTTACTAAAATAAGAATTATTATTTTTGTTCGTTAGCGTTTAGTCTCGAGGTTAAATACAGTTTTGATCACGCTTTTAACCGAATTAAGAAGGCGAGCCCCCACCACCATCACCCCTTCTTTTTTTTAACACCGTCAGCTCCTTCGCAGTGGAGCTGCTAGCTTCTCTAAGTCGGCAAAACTCATAATCCCTGCGCCCCACCCCGCCCGTCCCGGATAGCACCTAATAACAAGATTCTAAACAAATAAAAATTCAATGCACTTTATTAAATATAAAATCAACAATTATTTAAGAACTATCAGAATATATTAGTTTATACAATGGTATATCAAACTCATTTAAATGAACACAGACCGCACCGGTTAATCTAATTATATCTCTCGGTCTCCTTATTTTGTTTTTAATTTTGTTTCTTTATTACTTGTTTTTATATTAATATATACATAAACTTGCATTCTCTATAATTTTAATACTTTATAAGCACGAATGCTAACTATAAAGTCCTCATCCTCTAATTTATAATTCGCCTTTTTCCGAGGGCATAAATGATTTGGTCCTATTAACATGGATTTTCTTTGGTCGAGAAAAATTTAATACCATTTAGTTTCATTGGTTTAAACTCTTGTTACCAAACAGCGAAGCTTTCGCACTAAACAGTACAAAATTCTTAATTTTTTCCTACAAGAAGTAAACCTCACTGATTTCGTAGAAAGAAGGAAACGATTAAGATTTGGGCAAGCTTTAATAATCAAACAACCAAAATTAGCACCTCCGCAGAAAAGTTGTTAGACTGTATAAATAAGTAATTTATTAGTGGGTATTAAACATTTACTACAGTCACTATCAAAATTATTTCAGAATGTGGTGTTATAGTCTTAAAGAGTTTATACTTCATACCTAAATTGGCGGGCACGGTGATGTTAAGTTATGCTATATTCTTTAGAAGTCCTCTCCTATTTTTATTCATCACTGTTCTGTTTAAACTCTCAACTGTTTTGTTTATGTTATTATAAATGAAACAGAGAAATAAAAACTTGGGGTTGTCTTTATTTATTAACTTTTTTGGTAGCTTTTAGTCTATTACACTATACCACCTCCGCTTCTAACCTAGGATAATGTTAATATCCTATAAGGCTCTTAGGTGAAGTATGAGAAACCACTAACTTGGAGGCATCAAGTAGAATTTGTTGCGGTTAAGATTGGAACTGCAACCCCAAGCGGTTTACCACTTTTGTGCGCAATAAACTCTGCCTTTAAAAAGTATGCTTACGTCCTATATGACCTGCGCATTTGTTGCTTAGTCATAGGAAAAAGCCCCGAGGAGTTTGCTTCCTGCAGTCACAATAAAACAAGCTCCCACGATTATGACCGGCACAGCTTATTTCGTACGCAAAGCCCCGTGGCAAGACGGCTTGGGTTTGGACGACTTGAAGCCTTCTGCGTAACGCCATTACTTTCTTTAAAACGCTTTAGTTTTGCATCCAAACTACCGGTGGGCTTATGAACTTATATTCGAACCCTGAGAAGGCGCAATATGCACTTTGAAAGCGCACTTTTAGTTTGTAGATCTCTCCACACATATTTGTGTATATAAAATGATTTAGTAACTAGTGGAAAAATTGAATCACCTTGAAAAATAAAACATTATTAGCCAAACAACGCGGTCTGCGCTTGACTTACCGTGCAATAATAATAATAATAAAATCCTTATTACTGATTAGTAAGACCCAAATGCAACTTACAAAGCTAACAAAAATGATCTATAAGACTTGCAGTAAATATTTTAACGATGGTAGTATTCTGTGGCGTTGCAATAGTTATGACTGTAAAAAGCGGTTGTCTCCGTTATTTTATACGTATACGCAGGGTGTAATATAGTGGTGGCGAATTTATTAATTGAGAAGCTGTTTAATGCTACTTATCTACTTTAATACTTTAACTTGATAATTTAGAAGCGAGGTGAGCACAAAACTAAGCCGAACGTTGTAAATAGCAAGGCCTTAACCACAACATCCTTTAAGTTACAGGCAATAATTTGTTCAAGTTTTCAATAAGGCTGCTAGTTACAACAGATGTTCGTACAAAGTTAAATAAATAGCAGTTGAAAAGTATAAGGTCGCATCTTATCTTACTTGTTCCAAAAAACTTTAGCCAATATATTTACTTGTTGGGTTTAATGTAAACAGGTAAGCCTTAAGGCTATAGTTATTGTTATTGAAAAAAATAACGATTAGGAGTTATGACTTGCTACATCAGTTAAATTCATTCAACTCAAGTTATCACTCGAGTAGTTCCTAAGAAAAAGAGCATATTTAGCTAAAGATTTCCTACTACGCAAGCTGTGTGTAAAAAGCAATAACTTTGAGCCTTTACGTAAGTAAACGATACTTGTTTACAAACTAACTAACCCCCCCTCTCTCACGAGTTATATTAATATAGAATCTGCCCAAATATAAATAATAGTAAAATTCAATAATACTCGGAAAGTAAAGCTATAAAGAGGGGTGCGCAAATGGACACAATAGAGGCTACTAGCTGCCTATCTTTCAATTGCCCCTTTGCCTATACTTCTCAAGTAATGAAATCTTTCTATTTTTCAGACTTAATAACATATAAAATCTATCTCGTTTCAACTTTATTAGTTTTTGCAAACTTATCGAGCTCTTTCTTTTTCCTGCTACTAGAAGCGCCGATCAAATGCTCGTAGTCGTCAAGGGCAGCAAAAGCGGAATCTGAATTTTTCAACCTTTTGTTGATCCTGTTTACTATTTCAGTCGTTGAAAGTAAATAATGTATTTATACGAAGCCAAATGAGACTCAGAAACTCACCAATAGAGGATCTCGACTCCTTTTTCATTTCTACGGCACGTGTGCTATCAGCCACAGTAGTGCTAAAGAGCGGCGGTTGGTGCTGGTAAGCGCAAGAACTGGAGCAATAGTACCTCTCGGGCTTCGCCTTGAAGCTGTCTTTGGAATTTCTCCGCCCAAACTCTTCAAGGGAAGCGTCGGAGCAGGCTCTAAACGGGCATAGTTAGTTAAAGTCGGAATGATCTGAATGGGGGAACCCGTCAGTAATGTCTTCGTCAGACTCAAAGGGCTCTCCGCAAAGTTCGCTGTACAGATTTTCCTCAACGTCCAAAACCTTTTCTTTCTAAAGGCCGAATTGAAAAACAAACTACGAGAGTGTGTTATTTCTAACCTTTTTTTTCTTGCTAATTTTCTTCGTCTTTCCCTTATCCTTGAAAAAGTTGTACATAAACATATCGTCCGCAGCCACGTCGGTTTCTCTCATATTTAACAATTCCTTTTAATAAACAGAGTGAGAGTGGGGAAATGGCGCGAAAGGACAAGCAAAAGACCTTTGGGTCTAGTAAAACACCGGCTGCGGGAGTCCTCTTTTGGAAAACCGTGCTGGGAGCCTTAACATTTTGTTTGGGATTTTTATGCACAAACTTATCGAGAAATCTGAAGTGCAACAGAAGCCGTTGTTACGATAAAAAAAAAAATGGAAATTAGTATACCGAAGCAGCGTGAAGTCCGCCAACGGGTCGCCGCGATACTGGATGGGCTTTCCCTTAAGAAGTTGCTCTGCAAAGGAGCGCACAGAAGGATGATAGTGATCCGCCAGCTAAAGTATAACTTAATATAAATAAAAATACAAATATAATAAAGGCAAATGAGAAGCGTGCCAAGAGAAGCTCCCACGCGGAAGTCTTCTCAGCGGAGGAATGAAGCGGTTGTCTCTTGAAGGATCGTACTGGCCATAGGCTTTAATCCAATCCGGGCAGCCAAGTCCCTCAGTCGATAATTGGCTAACTTGAGGATCGCGCTGAAGAACTCGCAGCACAGCAGGCTTTACTTGGGCCAGTGTAGAAATCAGGAAAAGAATGGCGCATGCTTGGTGAGGTCGCTGGACGAGACAAAGCTGCAACAACCGCTTAACAAACGCCTAAACAGAGGATCAATATATATTAAAAAACACTTTTAAAAGAGCCGCAACAACGAACATGAACTCTTTCAGCTCTGCTGTCAAGGTAAAGTGACTTATAGAGAAGATTATAAAAGGAGGCACTGTTGCGTAGGTCAGATAGCATAAAACAGTCAAGAAGCTTCTGATAAAGGCAGCGATAAAACCGATCTGACAAAGCACTTTGGGCGAGCATGACCTACACAGCCATTAGAAAGCGGCTAGCCTACAGTACGGCAACGAGAGAAACCTGGAAAAGGATCGCGAGGGCTTGAATGGAAGTCACAAACGTAGTAGTATGGGCAAGGCGAAAAAGCGTGTCAATATTGTCCTTAAGGGGCTCTCCTTCAGCGCTGGAAAAAGGAAGAGCTCGATTGACGCCAACCAGCAATGCGCTTTATAATTAAGCTTGAGCGGAAACACTAAAAATAAAAAAAAAATTAATACTTGAGTATCTTGTGATCCACAGCCGCTTCCTTGGACAGAAGGGTAAACATGAAGAAATAAATGTCCAGCAATTTATTGGGAAGAACAGTATCATTGCGGTGGAGTAATATTTGATTTAAAAAACACACCGAGTAGTACCTGCAACGACAGCTACTGAATATAAAGCATATAAAAATAATACAGGTACGCCTAACTGAGCCTGCAGCGTCATGTTCGGCCTGCGCAAAAACTGCTCCACCTCGTTGACAATCTAATGCGAGGCGCAGATAGTAAACACAAGAACACACAAGCCAAGCGAGAAGAAAACACTCACCACCAGCTTCATGCGAGGGTGTCTCTGGAGGAGGCGGTTCAAGTAGTGCGAAATCTTGGAGGCAAGCTGCCTATCGGGATCACCCTGTGTGTGTCCAACTACAGATTATAAAGTGGAGAAGCAGAAAATCTAATATTTATGACCATCTTATTAACAAGCAGCGAGAGAAGAACTTTTTCCTGCTCAGGACGTTCTATAAGTAACTCGAGAAGAATTTGAATCAAGTTGTTCTTGATGGAGTACTGAGAATCGCTCAAGTGTTTCTACAAGTTTATGAACAAAATATATAACAACTTTTTAATCCGTATAACATGAAAACCTCCAACGCTTGTAGGTACGTAGAATACGCTACTTTAACTTGATCTTCAAAGTATATAAGTAACAAGTGCGCATCAGAGGAGGCAGCATCATAAAGATTTTGCTCATAGAAAAACCTAAAATATCAAACGTGTGTTTTGAAATTTTATAATATAACTTTTACTTTAATTTGCGGTTTTCAGGAAGAAGATCTGTAATCCAGAGACTTTTTAAACAGTCGAGAGCCTTTAGTGACTCTCTTTTCTTTTTCTGGGTCAATAAAATCACCGAGAGAAGTGAATCCAAGTTATGAATCTACTGAAGAAACAAAAATAACTCATAAAAAGGACTAGACAGAAGAGGAAAAAACCATAGACTCCTGCATCAACACAATCTTTGCTGCTAGCTTGTCATGGAAGGTGCCCGAAGCCGCAACCGTACTCATCCAGTTCAAGTCGCTGGAATTCTTTTCACCGAGATCTGCCATGGTAAACTTTGTAGTAAAAAAATAATGTTTATATATAAAATAGCTGAGCAACGACTATTATTATAAAGCTTCGTTTCCATTTCAAGTAATTTTTTTGCGTACAATTTCATAAGATCAGAATGCTCTCGACAAAGAGAACGTGAACTTGAATGTTGCTTTAACGGAGATAACTTGTGGTTATACCATAAAGTGTTTGAAGGAAACTACGATAAGAAATCAAAATAATAAGAAAGAAAAGACCAAAAAACGACAGTGCAAACCAGTAACTTGGTTCTTTTCTTAGGATCTCTCTTAAATTTTTCAACTAAAAGGGAAGGAAGTTCACTATTTCCATCAACACCCTCCACCTGGCCAAGTGATAATTTTATATTTTGTTTAGAAGATTTTTCCTTTTTCTTTAATAAAGTAGAGCTGTCTTCTGCTTGAACAATTAAACTTTGTGCCTAATAAAATGTTAGAATGAACGAAAGTAATTAAATATATAAGACCAAAGATGGGGAAAGATCACTTTCTTGATTTTCAAAAAACAGTCCGGATGAAGCAGTGCCCGTGGTCAAGCTATATAAGTTTTTGTTATCTGCAGAAACTTCTTTAGATGTTAACTCTAAGGATTTTGTTTTCGATGTTTTCATTTCCCTTTTTTCTTTGTTAACAGTTTTTCTCTGTATCCAATGTTTTCCTAAACTACTTACTTGCATTTTATTTTAAAAATAAATCATGCATTCTATATCGAAAAGTGCTTGATTTTAATAAAACTAGCGAAGGGAGAGGTTCACGACTAAATTACTTGCTAAGCCTTGAAAGTTTTTTTAAGCACGTGACTGCCATATTTCAGGCACTGACAGGAAGCCCTTGCTTGCTACGATTGTGGGGGGACAGATACTTTCTCATAGCTTGGAATGGTTTGTCGTTTTCATTGCTATCAGTTTGTACTGCGAATGATTTTATTTATTTTTTACAGAATTTATCTGAACACAAATGTGATGCTTTTTCTGTTTCTGAGAATTCTGTACTTTACAGAATATTTTTAGAGTTCCCTCAAGCTTTGTCTTGTACTGATGATAAATTTAAATATGCTCAAGACATGATGGCTCAGTACTATCAGGAACTTCAACCAAATTTATCTCGAGTGTTGTGGCACCACGACCCTTTTAATTTATCCATTAAAAGTTTTCAAGGTTAATTTGACCCATTATAGTAGTTTAGGTTTATATGCTACTTTTGATAATATTAGATCTCGCATCTGTTAAAACTAACTGCTTTTATTTGGAGGGAAGCACATATTTTGGTGATAATATCAACGATGAGTGGTTCATTGTTTTTCTTCTTTTTGAACTTACAAAGTTACATCAAGAATTAGTTATCTCGTTAGTGTCTAGTATTTTTACTGGTAGCGTTAATAAAAACCTTTTACCTATAGAGTGTTTGATTCCGATGGTGAATTCATTTTAATTGAAGCTGCACACCACCTTCCATCCTGGCTTCAGCCAGATACCTCTAAGAATAGAGTTAAAAAAAACTTTTTTGTGCTTGATAGCGGACTTATATAGTTAACAGGTTTTTATTAGTGATGGTCGTTTGCATATAATTCCCTTTCCCACGACAATAGAGGAGTTGACACACTTACCTGCAATTTTCCCCTCTATAAATGAAGGTTATTATATTATGATAGTTAAGAATTATTTTTATTTTTATATACTTTCAGCTATAAACTTAATTAGAAATCCTGCTGTGCGTACCCTCGCTTCTGAGGCTATACAAGAAGCCATTCTTTCCCATCTAGCTGAGTAGGCTTTACTAAAACTTTGCGTCGACGTTTACGTTTATATTATATATATTTGTAGGTCTGAATTGCAGATGAAAGATAGTCTGCACTTTGTAAATTGCTTTTTGCCCAAAGCAATCATTAATCTACTTGATAAAGAAGAGCAACTGATAAGCAAAGCAGTGGAAGCCTTCTGTCACAAAGATCCCACTGATGTTAAGGTCGAGTAAAGCATTATGCTCTTTAATATATGGTTAATAATTATTATTCTCATTAGACAATGAGAAGGAATTTGCAGTTCCCGGTTTGCTTCGAGGATCGCTCACCACTACGCGGCCGCTATTACAAGGCACATGTATATTATAATGCTTATTAGCTGGAGGGTGATCTCTTTTTGAAGGTAAAGATGACGAAGTGCATGTATGCACAGTTGGACTCTCAAAAGTGCCCTCTGCCGGCTTCGGTTTCTGCTTTAATTTCGATGAATAGCCAAGAGATCCGTCTTGCGCACAGTATGGGAATGAAAATAGTAAGGCCGTTGTGGTTTTTATTACATGTTGTGGACATTAGAAAGCTCTTGTATTGCAGACGTACGGCTTCGAAATATTGTATTCACGGGGTCCTAGGATGGGCCCATCAAAAAATAATGCTACATTTGAGAGTGCAGCCTTTGATGCATTTTTGAAGTACTTGGAAGATCGTGGCTACTTCAAGGTACATATATCGTGCTCTCGATTGCTTTTTAACTTTATTACCGGATAAAAACTTTTTCAGGGAGAATTAAAAGGCTCCAAGCTTCACACCAAGTTGCTCAATTCTGCCAATTCTTATTTTAGGGAGTTTTTGCGTGCGAATCTTCCGCGCAAACCTCGAGATCTTGAGCCTTCTTTGTCCCAAGTGGATGTTTCTCAGCCTTGCGAGAAAGTATGGCCGCTTCTTTTGAAGCAAGCGCCTTACAGCAGCATTTAGACTTTTTGTTTTTTTGAAGGGGCATTTGAGGATAGAAGAGCTGAGCCCTGGCAGTTCTAACTCTTGGCTTGAAATTTCTCCCCAGCAGCTGAATGCTCTCTGGGAAAAGCGTTTGGCAAGCATTTTTCCAAAGCTTCACTGCGTTTAGTCGACTAATTTGGCTTCACAGGGTGTCAAAATCCTCGATGGCACCGAGAAGGCGCCTTGTGTTGTGGCCAATTCCGTGCACTCGTTTGTAGGCGGGACCTCTTCTCACGAGGGCGCTGGTGCAGTCGTCTTTTCTTTTCCGTAGCTTTCTACCTTTACTGCAAATTACGTAGAACCAACAGAAAATATAGACGAGCCGAATAAACAAAAAATAGTGGATTGCCTTCGTTCGCTTTTGGAGTTTGATAATAGTTACACTAATAGTAATGACGAGCTGCTTACCGACGAGGACATACTTGACGAAAATTGCAGCGATGACTTTTCTTCCAGCGAAATTCGGTATTAAACTTTATTTATATGTTCCTATGGATAAGCAAAGATCCACAGGCAGTATTACGAAGCTATGGACGCGGAGTTGGAAACAACTAATCTCTCTAAAAGCTTTTTGAAAACTGGAGACATTTTGGCAGGTCATAGCTACGAAGACGAAGAAACAGACTTGAATTTTAATTTAGTTAAAAACTTTTTTGAATCGTACAGGTGGGCTTGGCTGTTGTTATTCGAACCATAACAATTTTTTTTATTACAAATCTCCAACACAGCTCTCAGCAGGGTGACTCCGGGCCAGTGGGAAACCTTTTAAGCTCACTGGGCTTTCTCCCGCCACCCGACGACCCTTCCAGCAACCTTGACTAGACATATTTTTCTTTTCGTTGCTTTTTAAATAAAAATAATTTGTTTTCATATGAATCTTCAACCATGAGTGCTTTACTAGTGCGTCGCTGTAGCGGCACAGGGGCTCTTTCTTATAAAAAATTAAGGATCTTTTGTGTTTTTTGTAAATATGAAAAAACCTTCCAACAATGCACTATAGAACATTAATTTGCGCCTTTTAAAAGGCGAAATTACTATTTAATTATTATTGTCAGGAAAACTCTTGATAGTACTTGCCTACTTGACAAATTAGGAAAAGATGCAACAATTACTTTATAAGTATTTAGCAAGGGCTCTTATTAACCTACAACTAAATATTTTAATTTATCCTTTCAAGTTGTAAATTATCAAAAGTTAATGTTGATAAGGTTTATAGCGGTTATATAATAATTATTGGTTGAGTCAAAAATTAAACTGAACAATGTTCAAGCCCAAACTTTCGAAAAAATTAAAAAAAAATTTGTAGATATAAGCTCTATTAAATTAAAAAACTAAACTAAAAAGTTTCTCCACTTTAACGCCGGCGAACGGGCCTCAGCCAATTACAAATACGAGACCTGAGGAGCCTCCTGACGCCTGCCAAACCTTACACATGGCCCATTCATAAATCCTAATAATGGCCTACTCATCTTCCTCCCCAACTTTTTAAGTCTTCTGCTAAAGGATGGCGGTACGTTTCAGTGTTTAATACTTATAAGTAATTATTTGGGCAATATTTATTCTTCATTTAAGTTTCGTTATATTTTCTAGTTAAAAATATTTTTTATTAACTCAATTATAGGTTATGTTAATTCACCTTTTAATATTTTATAGTGTCCTGTTTAACAACCTTTTTGATAGTATTTTTTATATAGAAAAAGTCACCTCAGAAAAGAAGTTTGTCAACCTTTGAGAGACGACGTTTTTATATAGACTTTTCCCCTGTGGCTAAATTTAATTTAGACCTAAAGCCTTTTGAAAAATTTCTTCATGACCGAATAAAAGTTGGAGGTAAAACAGGAAACTTGGGTGAAAAAGTGTCTATTTCAGTTGGCGATGGAAATAAAATAGTGGTGGACGCTGAGCCTCCATTTTCGAAGCGTTATTTAAAGTACCTTTCAAAAAAGTACTTAAAGGCTAACGACTTGCGAGATTATATGCACGTTGTTGCCAACCACAAGGACTCTTATCAAATTAAATTGTACAAGACAGTTTCTGTTTAAATATAATAAATCTTTTTTTTTATTAGCAATTTTCTTTAACACATTGAACAATTTGTGTATATATGTTCTAGCTGCTTCGCCTGCTTTTTCACGTTATGCATTGTGTTGAACTTTTTAGGCCATGACAAGTTATCTAGAGTCTACGTAAAGCATAGATCAACACATAAAAAGTTAAACGAAGTTTAAATCTATAAATAAACTAAAAATTAAGTTTATAGGGATAACTCAATAATTTTAGTACTGAAGGACAAAACTTACAGCAGGTTGGCCCGTGTATTTAGTTAGCAGGCTTTAGAGCCTTATAAATTATTATTAAAGTAAAAGTGATTTTAAAAAGCTTTTTATACAGCTCTCTAGACCTGTATTATAAAGCGAGTGACTTGTATTAAATGGTTTTATAATTGTTAGCGCTTTTAATAATAAGTGTAAACTTTTTTATGTAAATTTTGTAGGTTACACTTATAAAAATGTAATTTTAAAATTAAATTCTTCACAATATTGATAAAGTTCAACTGCTTTTTAAAAGAAAAATTATAAGTTGTTCTACCGGTGCATTTATAATTAACATATGATACAAAACCAAATTTAAAGAAAAAAATTAAATAGCTTTTTCTCGCTTCTTTTATTTTTCTTGTCTTAATGTTTCAAGCCTTAATTTTTGGACTTGTCGATTACTTCCTCCCTGAAATTAGCCGAGGAATACCTTTAAAGGCTAGTAATAGGTTTTTTCTTAAATAGGCGCCCCTTTTTTTTTAATTTAATATCGTAAATTAACTACTAATTATAAATAGAGCAAGAAATACAACATATCTCTTTTTATGTAGCGATTCGTCAAATATATTTGCTCTTTCAAGAAACTCCTTTTAGGCGAATCATTAGCGGCTTCGACAAACTAATTTATAAATTCAGATATTTTTTATTTCTAAGTTATTAGTTTCTTCAAAGGAGAAAATACTACAAGACTTAGTTAAAAAGAAGGTAAATCAAATAGCACAACCATAATAAATATATTGTTCAAATGCAATGTTTTAATTTGTATTTAGTTAATAACATCCTGTAGAAGTATAAAATTAGTCCCTTAAGCATTTTATCTTTAATTATATAAATTTTACTCTACTTTTCGTACTTTAACAAACAATAAGAGCATCACTTATGTAAACAACAGTTTAACAGGGTTCAGTTAAAATTTAAACCTTTTTGCGTTATGTTACAAATATTAGTATTACGACTTACTCTAACTGGGAGTAAGACTTACCTTAATAATATTGGTTTCCATTTATGTTGTCCCAGGCGAACAAATTGTAATTTTATATTTTTATTTATAAAAAAAATTCTATTTTTTTTCCTTAAGCGTAAAAAAAAGGATTATCTTTCAGTCTTAGTAAACTCTAGTTTTCCAGCCGACTTTATGACAAAAAGAAAAATGGAAGCTAAAGAAATTGATTTTTACATAGTTTAAATTATATTTCTACACAATTTGAGGACAATTTTTAAAAAATGCAAATGTACCGTGTTTTATTACTCATTTATATTCTATCAGTCTCAATTACACTAGCAAATGTAAGACTCTCAACTTTGTAAAGTATTTTTTTTAAAATTTTAGATAGTTTTTTTACGTATTAGCTATGTATATCTATGTACATTGATTTCATTTTTATATGATACAACATGAAAATACTACCAACTAGAAGGATCCGAAGACTGTACATTTGTTAAAGAAAAGGCTCTCATCAAAAACAGTAGTAAAAAAAACTGTTAAAAATAGTACAAATCCTTATACTCTGCACTTGCACCTTAATGACTAAGTGATCCTCGCATTAAAACTTAGTTCAAAGTGGAAAGGTTAGTGAAGAGGCCAAGTTATTTATATTTGGAGGACAACCAGCTGAAGACTATTACAAATGGATGGCGTCTTTACAAAGGGTGTTTACATTAATTATATCTTTATTTTCTTGGCATTTCTTCTTTAACAGTTAATAAAATACTAACTAAAGGTTATCAGCTCCCAGAAGTTTATGCACTTATGTGGTGGTACACTGATTGCACCGTCGTGGGTCCTTACGGCGGCCCACTGCGGAGTAAAAATTCATAGGGTTTGTATTGGTAACTTATAGTCTGTGTATTAGCAAATAAAAAACTATTTATTTAATTAATAAGGGGGGACAAATTTGAAAAATCTTGATGATTTTGAGTGCGTTAACGTCAGTCGGGTTTTTCGGCATCCAAATTATTCTTTAAAGCGCTTCATTCACGATATATCTCTTGTTGAACTTAAGAGGAACGCGCAGACTCCACCGGTTGAACTTAATATGGTATATACTTTTGAACCACTTTTCTTAGGTAATAAGTGTGTATTATACTAGGACGAAACCTTGGACGCGCCTCCCACAATGGTTTCTTTGTTGGGTTGGGGGTATAAGAACGACAAAAATGTTACAGTAGACATGCTTCAGAAAATTCAACTAATTTTAACTGATCCTGATTTGGTAATTTATTTAACCATATATGGCCTCTTGATTTACTAATTGACTAATTGGCAACAAATAACCAGCATTGCAACGTGTTTGCTCCTCCGGCCCCTAATCCTTTACCCAAAGAAATATATTTATGTAGTGAAGGTCACCTGACAAAAGGTGCCTGCAGAGGAGATTCAGGTAAAATTACCGCTTTAAAAATAGTAACTTTGGCAGTAAAATTGTATAGGAGGGCCAATATATAATGAAGAATTAAAACTTCAGCTTGGTTTTACGAGTTTTGGAGGAAATGTCTGTGGACAATCAACTCCTATGGTTTTTGTCCGGATTTCATACTATATAGGTGAGCAGTATACTATAAAAAGGTTTAAATGTTATGCATGAAATTTAAAACTTACACCTTAATATGAAGGAGTGCAATTTTTTAAAAACTTGTTTGCTAAAAAATAATTTATTTACTATATCTTTCTCTTAACTTATAAAGATTGGATAACCTCTATCACGGGTACATTGGTGAAAACTTTTCCATATTCTAACCATACGAAAGTGACGTGCGAACTAAAGCCTTGTTTGAACTCGGGCACTTAATTACTTATATTTTATATACGTAATTCCATATACCGCTTATTTATAATTTTAGGTCGCTGCTTACTGCAAAAGAGTACTTACATCTGTCAGTGTGCAGAGGGGTATTCAGGTCCTTTCTGCGAGGTGGAGCTAAGTAACTAAGAACCAACTTGATTTGATGAGCGACTTCGCAGACAAGAATGTAATGCACTCTATTATTTTGTATATATAAAAGGCTCAGGTCTAATTGGAGGCTAATAAATTTTGAAAACAAAACTTTTATTTAAATGCCCCACTCCATTTAAAAAATTATAAATACACGTAAAAAATTTCGGTATATAAAAAAATACATTCCTTGAAACATTTGTTAATTACCTCATTTTTATAACATTTATCTTTTATTGTATAGTTACATTAAAAAAATACTACGTAAGTTATTAATTTAAAAGGAATTTTAGTAACTTAGAGACTACTTACAACTATTATTGCTGTTGCAAACCTAAAATACTCTTTACAGTTGTGTGACAATCGGTACTGTCAGCTTCATTATTGAAAGAAAACAATTTAAAGCACGTACCAAGGGAATAAGCTCTCGTTATATCTTCTTAAAAAAATTTATTTTCTTTGAAAATAGGCTTAATGAATTTTTACTTTATATGAGATAATTAAATTGATTGCAAACTTCCAACTCTCATATGAGCATAAAAGAAGTTAGACGTTTAAGATAGCAATTGACCAGTTCTTTATTTAATGTTTGTGGTGCATTTTTAGTCATTTTTCAATACATAACACATTTCCTAATTGTGCAATACAGCAAAGGTTGGTAGGTTGACTAACCTCGATAACATCCCTAAAAATGTGGGTATAGCAGTAATAATCGGTATCATTGTTATCTGCGCAGATATGATGTGCGTGCTCAGGTTTTGCACATTGGTCTAAAACCCTGCTCCAGTAAGCTTATTTAAGTATAATTTTGTTTGTAATTACTAGCTTAATATTTGATTTACCAGAATAATGTGATGGTTGCTTAGTAAAATAGGATAATTCAAGTCCTTACTTAAAATATTTTTACGTTAGTATCAATTTTTTCTCTAAACTAACCAAAAAAAAAATTCATTTGACATGGTAATAGATGTACAGTAATGATGAGTGGAGGAAAATTCTTTGATTTATCCTTTAGTGGAGCCAATAGTTACGAGCAATGAATGTTTAGTTTGAGGTAACAGTAATTTACACTTTTTGGGCTACCCTTCCTAGCCTCTCTTTGGTTAGTCATAGAGGCAAAAGTTAGTGAACCGGGCAAATATAAAAAATGTCTTTGTTACAGGTATCGCCTTATTATTATCATACAAACAATGTAACAGAACAACATTAAGATTTTACAAATATGAAAGCACTATTACCCATAATATAAAGCTAATAAGCAGTGTAACGCTCGAGAATACTGAGAGTCTGCTTAAAATTAAAAAATAATAATAATAATTTGACGCACTGGGAGATAAAGAAAGCATCTGCATGATATGCTTACCTTGAGGTTATTACTTAAGTTATGCCTCAATAACATTTACAATTTATGCTTTTTAGCATAGAAGTTGAGATCATATAACTAAAATTTTCTCTTCGGGCCAATCTAACAATATAATATTTCATAAATATCTTTAGTTATGAACGACTTGCGTTTCAAATAATTTTTCAATTTTAACTAAATAAGGTCCTTGGAATTTTTATCGCCCAAGCATTCTACCCTCGTTAGGTGTGTAAGTGAGTTATAACAAAAACTTCCTGGGTTAATGTTCAAGAGTCAAGATATTACTAACAGTAAGGTAAAGTGAAGCGAACTACAAAGAAAGAAGAGTTGGTAAAGTTTAAAAACCACGGAAATAATTTAGTTTATTACGCTTGAGTCGCCAAATATCACTTAACAAAACAACGAAAAAAAGATAGGGCGTGAATTGCTCAGTATCATATTTATCATTTTTAATTAACATTGTTCCTTTAAACGATAGTGTTAACTTACAGTAAAACCAACTTTTTTTAAAGCAAATTTTTATCGAGCCAATCACTGCGCTCTATATGACATTTTAACTTTCGCTGTTAGAAAAATTTATTATACTTTGTTTTAGTAAGCCCTCTTAATAAGTTAATGTCTTCTAATACAAATAATAAAAAATTACCTGTTCACACCTCACCAACGTACTATTCTGGACAGAGTATTCACCTTAGAGATCTTTTCGAAAAACAGGTCTAAATCTTTGCTAAAACTGCTTTAAAGCTAATAGATATTTATAAATGCAAAGGAACTTTGGGTTTTCGGCTATGGCTCCTTAATGTGGAAAACCGAGTTTCCATGTCCCTTTGTTGAGAAAATTTTTGGAAAAATTTGTGGTTATAAGCGTCGTTTTTGGCAGGTCTTTGTAAATCTAACATTGGGGTACTAAAGGCTTATATATGAATAAATAGGGGAGTACTGATCACCGTGGTACACCGGGTAAACCAGGTCGAGTTGTTACTATAGTGGAAGATAAAGAGGTAGAGTAGAACAAACCCATATGGGCCCTTTCCATTCATTAGGTTACTAATTCTGTTTAATTTCTATTTTTTTTTGTTCATATTAAACAGTCGGAAGTTTGGGGGGTCGCGTACTCTTTTCCTAAGGAAAGCACATATGAAATATTAGATCTTCTAGATTATAGAGAAAAAGTATTAATCTAAGTTTAATTTATTTTTTCAACTAAGTTTAATTCGTTAGGGGGGGTATGATTGTGCGATGGTTAATTTCTATCCAATTGATAACCGAGATTCTTTTAAAGTATTTATTAACATTATTAAAAAAAATTAAAAATTGAGACTTTACACCTTCAAAAACGATCTATTATTCTGATGTTTTTACATTAACTATTAACCTGAAAAAGTTCTTATACACCCATAACAAGGCGCTCCTCTACGTTGGGCGGCCTGTCAACTCCAGCTATCTCGGACCAGCAACTCTTTCAGAGATGGCCAAGCAAATCGCTACGGCGCAAGGTAGCTTCCTTTAACTTTAACCTCACTCGAGAAGAGAGTTTGTTTAATTTCTCCTCACTTTAGGACCAAGCGGTGCAAACTACGAGTATCTCTATAACCTCGCTAACGCTTTGAGGTAGATCTCCAGCGACATCGAAGTGAAGGAAGCTCACGTTTTTGAATTAGAGAGAGAAGTCAGGAAGCTTTTAAACGAGAAAAAAAAATAGCGTAGTTTACTATTTAACAACCTCTAGCGCATTCACATTGAAGTATGAACTTATACAGTGATAAATATAATGAAAACTTAATAAATACATATTTTTATTCATAAATTAATTCGCGCATGAAATAGAAGATTATTTTAATCGACATAAACTAATTATCAGTGAGCAGAGTTAGTGTGACAGATCTTCTGCCTAGACTTCTTTGGATCTTCTTCTGTAAATTCTTGTCACTCTTGCCCACGGTGGGTCTGCCGTTGATGCAGGAAAGGGTTTCTCCCACCGAGACTTGTAGTGCCATAATTAACAAGAAATTTAAGTTTTGAAAGTTCAAAATAAGTTAACAGTGATCTATAATACCTTTTACTTGTTCTGCTACGGAACCCGCTTGTACCACTACAACCTTATTAAGCCGTTAGCAAAGTTATCTACCACTTATTAACTACTTATTTAATAATTGTGTTAACCTTTCTTTTGCTTAGCCTCAAACCTAAAGAAACCTTTTTGCTATATTGATCTTTGTGGATAGTCAAGTATTTTCCCTGTCCGTCTTCTTGCAGGTAATTTGTATATAATAATTTATTTAACCCCTTCACTTTGCACAAGCGATTCTAAAAACTTACTTATTTTTAACTTTACTTCTTGGGAAAGGTTAAAAATGTTATTAATAGCTCTTTTCGAGAGTTGCGTCGTGATAACATAGCCGTTAAGCTATTAGAGGAGTGTTAAAAAAGTTTCGAGCGCTAGTTGATTAAAATAAATTCAGTAGCTCAAAATAATCTTACGGCCGACTGCCTTAATAACTGACCACTTACCTCTAGCAGTTCATCACCGATATTGATGCCACATCGCTCTGCGCGAGTCCCTTTCTCAATAGATACCACGATTAGCCTACTGCTAATCCACTCAAGCTATAAAGATTTTTATACGGGTTATGAAGAAATAAACTTCTTTCACATGTTAACCTTCAGTCCAAAAAAGTGTTTTCGGTTTTGTTTGACTTCAAAAAAGGGTAGACTTTTTACTTTCTTGCTTAAAGAAAACAATGCGGGTCTGCCAATAGTAATATTGCTTAAATTGTATATTTTAAGAACACTATACTAAGCCATATACTACTTGGGGACATGAATTATACCTTCTATACATGTAGTCGATCTTTGGAATTATTACTTCTCGAATAGTCGAATTCTTTCTATCTATTTATTAACTTTAGTGCGTATAGAGTTCCAAACAAAAGACGAATGTTGGGTAGCTTACCTTTTCGGTTTAAGTTATGTACACAATAGTTTTCAGTCTCGTCGCTGCGGGTTGTTATAATACTTTACATAAACAACATTTATGTTTTTAAAAGTTAGAACTTGAGCAATGTAAAATAAAAAAGTAGACAGTAAAGATGCTTAAGAAAAGTTATCAAATATACAATTACTTATATTTCTAACAAATTATAAGAGTTAAAACACTAAAAACGTTAAAAAGGGTCTTCTTATTATGTATGTAATATAGAAACCTGAAGGTTTCTTTACCTAATAATATCTAGTTTATCTGGAAAATTTTCTCGGTTATTGCTGCTCACAGAGCCTGCAGAGTCCTATAAAATTAAAGAATAATTCACTTACCGTTAGTCCAGCGCATAAGATAGAAATGTAATAACCTTTTCTGTATTTATTCTATTAATTTCAATTTCTTTTTCTAATTTTTTATAAAAATGGTTTAAAATTTAAGGCTCCACGTAATCAACAAACTTACAGAAACAGTGCTTTTAAGTTACTATATTTGCGAACCAAAATTAAAGAGACTTTATAACCAAAAAAAATGGATAACGCTATAATGTAATGGAGTATATATCTATGCGAACCATTTTTATTAAAGTTACAATTATTAAGCTTTGAGGGTATCAAGTTATTTGGTGAATTTTTTAGATTTGAAGGACTTCTTATTTTACAATAAATTCCGCGTCTTAAAGACATTAAATAGCGACTTTATAGGCTCAATTTCTCTATTAAAAATAACAGAAGAACACTTTTGAATGAAAAAAGATCACAAATTGACTCACGGCTATCAAAAGAAAGAGGTAAAGTATTGCTAAAAATCAGAAATTTTGCGTTACTATCAAAAATTATAAGCTTCATACGGCTTAAAATTAATGGAACTAACTAACTAAATTAAGCTAATCAAAAGTTTGATTTGCTGAAAACATTGACTTATAAATATACTTAATGAGTTAGTGCTTCTCATGGTATTAAAGGCTTTAGGATTCGAGGGCTTTATAGTAATCTGTGACCACTATTGTAGGGAGGTAGTGGAGACTTATAGTTTGTGGTGAAGAAGTTGCTGTTAATAAAACATTTTTAAAGTTCGGTACAGTTTACACACATAATAAAAAGACCTTTTGACTATTTCTTTACCGCCTAAGCATGGATAACAGGTTATATAGGTAAAGCCATCATACCATGATTGTGAGTGCTTATCGTAGCTCAACGGTTAAGAGCATTTTAGCGTATGTACTCAAGGTCCTGGATCCGATTCACACTGACAGAACGCTCAATTCTCGGTCTTTGATGGTTGCGTATCTAACTTCGCCCTCATGAATTCGTATAGTCGCAGGCTTTGAGGGAGAAGAACAGTTTATGCTAACGTAATCAAATTCTAACAAATTCCATTTAGCGAACAAAATGAAAGTAAGTAAACGAAAAAATAAAATTAATACATTTTTAAAGGAGCGGCGCGGTATATATAATCCTAGTAGCTAGTATTATATATATCTCGCGCTCCCGAGTGCAGTGAGAAAATTGATATTTCCATGAAAATTACTAATAATTAATGTGCGTGTTAAGGTCTCTTTTCAAACTTTTCTTCCTAGTACTTTACGTAATTGATAGACGAAAGAGAAATTCATGTTGGTTCTGGTTACATTTTGTCGTGGCAGTTAGTCTAATCACATTAACAGCAGCATGGGGACTGACCGTGTATGCCCAAGCACAGATCCTAGTCAACTCCATTAGCCAGCTGTAAATAGATGTGAACGAAACCTTTGTATGTACTGTATACTATAATCTATCTCACCACAACTAAGAGGCTTGCATAATGAGTGGTGCGTTGTAACTGTTTTAATCCTAAACGGTCTGCACCTTGTTACCTAATTTTTTTTTGGCAGTCATGAGTACTTTGTTGTTCAGATGGGTTTATAGCAAACCTCCCTCTGGTGGTAGGGTTTTAGGTTTGGTTATATTCTTTACAATAAAGCGCCTTGTTACTTTCTTCTTAACTGTTCTGCCTAACTCTCAGCTGACCCCTATTTTTTCTTATAGTTTTATTTTAATATTATTTCTCTTTCTAAATTTTCTGTTTATTATTATATTTGGTTTTAGTTTTTCTTATTTTTAACAAGTTTCTGAATTTCTTTTACTCTAATCGCTGTTTAATTTCGCCCTATTTATCTCCATAGAAGGTTATAATCTTTACTATGGTTATAACATAACACTGCGTGTCTCGAGTTTAGGGTTTTTCTGATTTTAATTTGGGAATAATAGTTCTTGCTCAAAGTGTTAGTGTTTTTTCCTCATTAGTGCAATAACTCCAGCATTATATTGACCAAACATACTATTTTAATAGTGTTCTTACCTAGAATATACTATAAATAGTGCGGTTCAAATCATTGGAGGTAAAACCAACCTACCAGCTTAGAAACCAACAGGTCGAGACCATAACAATCCTACCAATTAGTAAGTAATGTTGTTTTATTGTCATAAATAATTTGCTAATTAAAAAGCTAGCGTTATATTTTTCTCAAACATTAACTTTTAAAAGGGGTTAACGTTCTCAGTAAAGCAGACCTTGATAGAATGGTAACTTCTGTTTAACAATCTTGTTTGGTTAAAAAAGGAACTAATTTAAATTTAAAAACCAAACCAAAAAAATATCACTAGATTAACTGACTAGGTACACGAACAAGTCAACCGATGTGTACTAAATCTGGCCTAGCCATTTTACTAATTATCCAAATAAGTGGATATGGTTCCTAGTTTTATAAAAGCAATGTTCTAGGTGTGTGCACAGTGCACTTGTACCTAGAAGAAAATAAATTTATATAAATACGATGAGAGATATTAACATATAATGATCAAATAATACACTATTATCCTAAGAGGTGCATTTTTTTCAAAGCAGTACTTGGGCCAGAGAAGTGCGCATAGTGGTTAACAGATCTACTAAGACATAAATAGGAGCATATTTTAAGCCCAAGTATGTACAAAAAAACCCACTCAATGCCCCTCAACCTTTACCGCAATTTATTGAGCCTACCTTTATTAGAATTTATATTAAAATAAAACAAAAAAAATATAAAAATATACAAAAAAATGATATGATAACAAATAATATAATAAAGCTTTTCTGCTGCTTTTAATGTAAAATCCTTATGGTGTTCATACTAATAAAATGGATTCGAAGAACCAATTTATATCGGTATCACGATTAATGAAAATCCACTTTTTTATTAATTGAACTAGTTTTAATTTAATTTTGTAGTTTTTTTCTTATTAACCATCCATATATAATAAAAATTGCGTAGCACATACTGCCAGGAATAAATTTAACGTTTTTGCTCAACACTTGTCTACACCTTTTTCCGAGAATTTCATCATGATCATGAAGAGGAGGCCTTCGCATGAGGCTCGACCTCCAGTTATTATTTAGCTAGTCTTTGTTTTAGTAGTAGCGAAGAAATGATTAATATAACCAACTTGTTAAAGACCAAAAAGGCTATGAGGCCAGATAGTATATATGACCTAATGCTAAACATTTACTACTAAGGCTTTTTCCTACGTAAACGAGCTTTTTAATTCAATGTTAATTTTACTATATGTTACATACAAATCGTTGGTAGTTAGCAGAAGTTGTTCCAGGAAACTTTATTAGATACTATCGGCCCATAAGTTTACTATTCGGCATTTGCAAAGAATAAAAAACTTTGGTAGCGTTAATTTGTTTCCGTGAAAAAAACCCCACTTTAACAGATTCTTAGACTTTAGAATGTGTTACTAAAGCTTTTAACGATCGAAAATATACCGCAATAGTATTATTAGACTTTGAGGATACCCTTAGTAAAGCTTGGACAGAGAGGACTTGTCTATAAGATGGTCAAGTTTAACTTTCCTAGGTCTTTAGCCGAGATAACAAATAAATTATTTATTACTAAGAAAATTCACAGTCCCAGATAGGGAACGGATAGCTCAAATGTAGGGATTTAAACGTTGGAGTCCTTCAAGGGTCGCCTTTATCGCCGCATTTCAATTCTCGATTTGCATGACTGACGTCCTCTGATCAACTGCTGTATCTCTAGCCCAATATGCTGACGACACAGCTATATTTTGCAACTCTAAAACGACACCACTGGCTACTAAACACTTACAACCTTTTTTGTACACTCTGAAAACTTGGTTTACTAATTGGAAGGTGACACCTCCCCTTTAAGAGTGCAGCAATGGTAATTTCAATAAGAAGAGTTAATATTTAAAAGCGCTAAACTCTACATATATTTAAAACTGCTATTCCGTAAAGTTTCTGTGTTAAGTACTTAGCAGTTATTATAGATCATAAATCAACTTGGAACGCTCAGGTTGTGTATGTCCTGAGAAAAATGAACGCTGCCAAGAATGTCTTATACCATTAATATGTAGGAGCAGTAAACTCCATCTTAAAAACAAGCTGTTTTTATATAATTCCATTATCCGCCCAACAAGTGTATAAGTCCGTTTGTTGATCCTGCCCTGAGCGTCAAATAAATAGGCTGCAGATTTCTTAAAACAAACTCCTCAGAATGATCCCACTGATGCTTCATGGATCATACGTAATGCTCAGTTACCTCGTAGCTACCAAATGAAGACAATTAAAACTTTGTTCATCCGAATTGCGACTGCACGCTATAAAAAATATAATGAATATAACAATAGTTTATTAGCCACTGCTGTTAGTTACCAGGATAACAGGTATAAAAGACCTAAACACATTTTAAGATCACTTTCTTTGGAGCTTCGACTTACTACCCTAATTATTTGTCATTTACCCATTTATAATATAATTAAAATTATACTTCTTTATTATTATTAGTGACAGAGTACATATATACTATTAATTCAATATGCTTAATCGACATAAGTATTATTATATTTTAGTTAATACAAATAAGGAAAATAGCGTATTATAGTTTATTTATATATTATCACTTAAATTATCTTATTATGATTATTTACTGACCTTATTTACTTATCGTTTTATTCTAATAATTCTTGATAATAAAATCTGTTATTATTTGTTTGGTTGTGGCAATGTACTTCTTTCTTTTTATAACTTGCCCAAGGGCTTGGAAGCAAACAATGAAAATGAAGACTCCTCGAAGAAGACTGGATCCTTCTTTACCCCTCTTATAGTGTAAGAGGGGAATAAGAATTAAGCAGCAAAGATGTGCTATACATATCGACTGTAGTTTGTCAGTAAAAAAAAAAAAAGATAAAAGAAGAAATACTCTTGGGAGGCTTTGCCAGTCTCCCCTGTGGAAATCTCAAAGAAAGCGCCCAGGAATACTTACCCCGACGCTGAAAGTTTAGCGTTCTCCACTACTCTAGGCTAGCGAGTATAAAGTTTCTCCGCTGACTCTTGGATCGACCGTAATATGTCAGCGCCAAAATAAAATAGTAATGAAATTTTGCCTCAAGCCAAGGATCACACTACAAACAAATAATATTGTATTGCGCAGTACACACTGTAGTATGTCTTAGATAGGTAAAAAAAACATTTACCTCAGTAAGATTTATATTCACCTTGTCTTTACGTTTTAAGCACGAAGTTTAGCTTTGGCCAAAGGAAAGTTCTTTGAGCTCATAAAAAACAAACCTTATTTATATTTATTATTTAAGTAATACTTGCCGCATACTACATGAAGCAAAAAATGTAAGCTTCATTTAATAAAAAATGTAATGGTATAAAACAAACTATTTTGCAAATAAGAGTGCCTATGACCATTCATGAATCGCCGTTTTTCGAAAAATTGGTAGTAAGAAGACTAGAGGTGGAGATGAAAAGTTTGAAGCCCAAGGTTTACATTTCCCTTAAGTTCCTGCTTATTTAGACTTAATTCTAATAAATAAAGAATCAAATTTTATTATACAATAAAGCAGTACGAGAGAAATAAACAGATTTTAGGTAATTAAAAACTTATAGATTTTTCATATTCACTTTCTACTAAAGCTGTAGATGAGTCCTTGAATGATATTCTTTATAAAACACATTGATCTTTATACACTATTTTGACTTCCAAACTTTCTAAAGCTATGTACTTAAATGAAATTTTAAGGAAACCAAAACAGGGCAATAAGAAGTATTTATACGTTCATATATGACCGTAAAGTAAATACTTTTAATGGCTCTCTTAAATAGAAAGCGGGCCCTAATGTCGGTTTTTAACAATCCAAATTAATGCAAGCGCAGTACTGCAACATTTTTTTTAAGTTGCTTGTATATTAATGGTGACGCTATGAAGAATAGGAGTGCAAAGCAAGCAATATAAAGATACTACTCATGGTACAGCCACTGTTTAACAAGAAGGTATCGGCACAATATTTAAATCTGATGTCTTAAACACGAACTTTAGTATTTAGCAGGGACTGACTTAACAGCTGCTTGTGGTAATAATAAGCTCAAGTTTTTAAAAAAAAGGTGAAATTGTTGTTCTACTTAAACTCAAGTTAGTACGAAAAAAAAACTCTTTATTCAAATTATATAGCTACCAAACAAAAAATTTAAACCGAAAAAGGTAAGTTGCAAGGTTTATAGTTTACGCTTGACATATGGAGTATATAATTCAATATCTTGTTAAAAGTTCAGCCTAAAAGCAAAGAACAATTTATAGCTTTGCCTTTTTGACCCTGGGGATGGGAGCGCTAGGATTTTCGAAAGTATAAAACTGTTGAAGTAAAGAAACGGCCAATTCCTTATAATTTGGTAAAAGCTTGCAAACAAGAGGAGGTAGAGGAACTCTACACTTGGCAAGGTCCCTTCCAGAGAAAAATCTACTAATCGAATTACCTTTGGGATGGTTCGATATATCAGATCCGTCACCTTCAGCCTTTCTAATATCGTTATTGTTGTCATTGTCATACTCACTATAGTCGCTATAACCAACTCTAGTAAAGGCATATAAAGGATGAAGATGCAACTTCAATACTGAGCCACAACCGCCAAATCGTTCATTCTTCGCACAGTAGTATATAAGTTGAACACCTAAATATCGTAAGGCCGCCGTGCACATTATACAAGGTTCAATGGTGACATACAACACACACTCCATGAAAAATTCGGTAACTTCTTTAGATACTTTTAGATTATTATAACCTCTACTATTAGACCCGAATCCAAGCAAAACTTGTTCAAGAGCAACAAGCTCAGCATGTCTGGTGGCATTTTTAGTTAAATTAGTTTGGTTTCTACCAACTGATATGATTACACCATTACGAACAAGAACACATCCTACAGGAATCTCCTTTTCCAATAATGCTTTTCTCGCTTGTTCTATGACATAAAAAATTAAAAAACTTATTCAATTTAATTATATCTAAAACCTATAGCCACTTCCATGAAATTACTTTCCATTTTATATTTTTATAAAAGTGAAGGCGCGGTGCGAACCAGAAAGAACTTTGAAGGCAGTCCTGCCAATCAGGGCTAAGGTTGTTAAAAATAGTCCCTGAAACCAAAATTGGAGACTTTAATTTGGCTCAGCGTCGCTTTCACGTGGCACACCTTGCGTACCTTTTAGACTAATAGTAAAACCTGGGCCTGTATCATTTTATAGATAAAAGTCATGGGCTCTAAGTTAGTGGTTAAAATATTAAAGAACTATCTTAGCCATAGCAGGGAAGCCGAAGCACAAAGGTTTCAAGATGGAATTAACCATAGAAAGCAGACAATGAAACGAAAAAACATTATGAATAGTGAGTTTTAGTTGAAAATTATTTTAAAACTTTTAACATTTTTAGCTTAGACATATATTTTATTAAAATACTTTGTTGAGATATATCAGATTCATACATACTGTTCTTTGTTACAACCTTTTTATATATATTAGTTGAGTATGTTTTTCAGTTGGCTAACACTGCAGATTATTATGTTTTTACGTTATAAAGAATTGTTTATTTGCATTTATATAATCGACTTTTACTCTTTTTTTTTTATTTACTTATTTTTTACTTTATAATAGGAGAAGATCCCAAGTCTAAGTGCTTAAAAAAAAACCGACAAAAAAAAACCGGTTTAGCGGAAAACCCTCGCTTGGATTATAAACTTGTGAAAAAGGTTTTTTATTTTCTATTTACGTACTTAAAAAAAAAAAATTACTGTATATTTCATACAGATTTTGGAATATCAGTTGTGTACCAAAAACAAATAACTTAATTAATAAAGGTTTTGAGTGGTATACTAATCCATTTGCTGAGAGATTATTGTACCTAATTAGGGAGTTATTTGTGCTAGAGATATTTAGCATTTTTTTGCTGAAGACTGAGGAAAAAGTTACACCAAGAAAAGGTAACAAATCTGTTTGAAATAAATAATCTTGCCTTCTTGTGTGGGGCAAGTTAAACTTTAGCCGTTTTCCTAGGTTGTAAAAAATATTACAAGAATATGTTTGAACTGCAAAATATATTATACTATATGGTAATAGTTGTAGGTCGCGTTTTATCCGTATATTTGTGGTAATAGGAACATATTAATATAGTTTTTTTTTTTGATAAAAGAAGTATAGGAATCACCGCAACGTTTTGTAGTGACAGGCTCGATTCTACTGAATTATTACCTGCAACCCCTTTTTATTGGTGGGAATGGACTTCACTTACGATCAGTTCTTTTCTTCCAAATACGGCCCTTATTATATCTTATAATTACTTTACTCCTTTAAAAAGGAATTTATTTGGGCGTTTTCTTTACTCAAAAAAATATATATTTCTGAGGTAATGCTCTATTTAGGATATAATTATTTGGGACATTAGTTTGCCCAACTTAGATAATTTAGATAATGTATAACCTTATCGAAACCTCTAGGTGTTAGTCATTGCTTGTTTTGACTGGTTTGGGTTGTTAACTTTTTATATTGAAATTTCTAGAATATTAAAGGTTTAAATTTCATAGTGCTGATAAAGCAAAATTGTTTGCTTAGCTCGCTACTCTATGTTAAATATCTACATTCCAGCTAAAGACGTTAATTATTTTTTGTTGATAGCTACTGCGGACAGTTATACCTTAAATTTTAAAATAATTAAAAACTTAAAAAAATTCTTTTTTTATCCCGAAAAGACATAGAACTTCTTTGCGTCGCATTTAAGTAAATAAAAATAAGTATCCGATGTTATAAGGTTTTTTTACTTCTTCTGTATTTGTCTAACGCATTTCTTAACATTACGAGGCTGGCATAACCTCGCCAAGGCACAAAAAAAATAATTTAAAATTGCTTTTAACGTTATCTAAAATACGATCAGTCACTACTTTTTGCGTTGTTGTTTTGTACCATGATATACCGTTCTCCCATGGTGCAAAGTTTATAACTGCCTTCAAAAGTTAGTAATAATTTATGACTCACCGCGAAAATTGAAAAGTATTAAATTTGGACAATAATGAAGCTTTTTAAATTAATTTATAAGTTTGAATGCCTTTATACATTCTTTTTCTATATTAAACCCGATTCAAAATCTTCGTAGTCTACAGAAACGGAAGTTTTGACTTTTTGTTATTGAATGGCGTGTCCTGGTGGCCCATCGTGTTAACAACTTCGAATACACGAGCTCTCAAACAGGTTTTGAGTCGTCCACGGGTATATGTAAAATTATCTTAAAATGTGTTCTTCATGGTCATTTAAAAACTTCTAACTTAGCTTTTAAGAGTTCGCCACCCCACTAATTGTAAGTGAGTTCGTCTGCTAAAAGGCGGCTAGCGTGCCCAGCTATCCAGTCGTAGAGGGCGATGGTGCATCATTTTTTAAGGTCGTGTTCAGCAAGTCACTCTGTAGTTTGCGGTGAAGTGTTCCATTTTACACACGGCTCTTTTGTGAAAAGGCAAAGCAGTTTATATTGTCGCACTTGGAGCCGATAAACTGTAAACCCAGGCAGGAGGTGCTTACCTCGTAATCGGCCGAATGGCCAGGACGAAGCCTTTGCTCATTGCGCTACGAAAGTTTGCTGCGCTATTGAGGATACAGCATCTGGGTCGCTACTTTGACCGCCGCCACGTAATTTACGTGTGGACGCCCTGTAAGGACCCTCAGGTGTTTTACCTGAGAACATCACGGAATTTCAATGCCTTTAAAGTTAAGGTGTCGGCAGCGCATGGCGTATCTTAGTTATAAGAAGCACCTTGCTCTTTGCGGCGTTAACGGAGAGGCCTCATTGACGACACCAGCTAGCAAGCGCGTCGAGATGAATTGTAGGCGCTAACATAGTAAAACGGGAAATTTTGACGATGAATAATTCATCGTATCATCGGCATAAATGGCGACCCGCGTTATAGGGTGGACTGGCAAAAGAATAACGTCACTTGTACAGAGCGTAAATAGCAGCGGTGATAGAATAGAGCTTTGCGGAAACTCAGCTGTGGGCAGCGAAACGACGACAGTGCAGCGCCAATTCGCACGTTGAATTCGGCCATATAAGTGGGACTTGAGAACAACAAATTAGAATACAAAAAATCCCATTTTTAACTGTAGGGTAAATAAAATATAACTAATACTTACAAGACCCAATTATGAAAAATACACCTTTGTTAGTAACCTAGTAAAGGCCTATTATCATTAATGGTGTTTCTCCTAGTGTTGATTTGGGTGAAAAAGACGTTGAACTTTCGAGATTTCGTCAAGATGATAGCACACAAAGTAGATTTGAGCTTGCGATTGAAACAATCCCGTATATATATATCATTTTATTTTTTTAAGCTTTTAAGTCTTCACGTAAACCTAAGTAATAATTAATCATATCGATATGACTTACCAAATATACTGCATATCTAAAAGGCACGGCAATATTAAAAATTAGATTTTTATAAAAATTTAAAAAACTATATTTATATAAATTTAAGTAAAACAAGTTGCATGAAAATTCCTTAAGCATCGTTTGCAAAAATTGAGGGGAAAAAATAGTAGTCTCTTATAAGAAAAAATGGGATATGTCGGAACAGCCAAACCAACGTCAAACTTACATTTTTTACAATTATACTGTTTTATTAATATATATATATAATATTTATTTTCATAAATAACTTCAATATTTTTTTTAACGAATATTGCTTTCATTAAATTGGCCCATGGAATGGTTCAAAAGTCAATTAACATTTTCTCTAAAATCTCGTAGTAAGTTGTTAAGAACATATTCTTCTAGTTCAAAATACGGCTTTCTACTCAAGTATAACCCAACGTTCGGTTGATCAGAGATCTCATAGCCTAATGACATAATAAAAGGAGACAGCGGCCTCTTTTTTAAGCGTGCTGGGGACTTATAGGTGGACTTTTATAGAGTATTTGTGAATTAATCCAGTCGGGATCTGGTTCTTGGAATAAGACGGAGGCGATCTTAGTAACTTGCACTAGCGGGGCTGTCTAAATTCGAGTGTTTTTTTTCTATATCGCCAGCTTAGAGCAAACAATCGTGCTGCTTAATTTCTCAAATTGTAGCAGGAAAAGTTATATTAACTAAAGCCGTTAAATAATCTGGCTTTTGAAAATAGAAGTTAACAAATAATTTTAATTTCTCTTTGCGCTTTAACCGCTATCCTAAGGCAGAAACGAATGAGAGCGATGCTAGTTCGACTAAAAGTACGATAAAAACTCTGCCAGAGCAACTTGCAGTTTGCGTCGAAGTGAAAATTGCTTTACCGTAAGGCTAAATGATAATCAGCTATAAAAACCAAATTTAAACATTTTTTAACTCAAAAAAAATGTCAGTGTTTTTTTTCTTAAAGGTAGTATCTTATACATAGGCTATAAGTAGCGTAAAATAATTTTTTTTACGCAATAACAAATGAACAAATTAATTTTAATACTTACATATATATTACACAGTAAATAGGCTACTCTTTTAAGGCGCAAGAGGAGTAAAGTCTTTCTATATTTTTCTTAACACGCAAAGATGCAGACTAAAAAATTACTCAATACAAGTTTAAAAAACTTAAAACTTCCAGTACAGATGTTATAAAAGGAGGACAACAGTTTTAAGATATAAATCTATTATTTTTCAGTAAGAAAAATTTGAAAAAACCATCAACCACTCTATACCGCACCCACAATACTCAATTAAAATTACTTTTAAATTGCACTTCCAAACGGGTCATCATTACACAATTTATATATGTCTTAATAAGTATTGGCAACTCATTAAAAAAATAATGTGCAGCAAACTACACATTTTAATTATTACACAAGAAGAGGAACCGGTATTTAAAACCTTAACCAAGCCAGCATGAAGCAGAAGTCGATATAGGAATTGGGGAACATGTAACTTATTAAATCATACTTACTGTCTTTAAAAAGATAAGAGGGTTTTTCTTTATTTATTCAAACAATTAAAAGAAAATACGGAACCACAAAAAAAGACTACCGCAAGCTGGGCACTTTGCAAAAGATATTTATGGCTTTTAACTTTAGCAGGCCTCAGCAAGACAACGTCATATAATTAATTTGTTAACCGTCATAGAAATTACTACCAAATTAGAGTGAAGGCGATAAATTTTCGTCGACGGCCGTGCAACATGACCATGCGACGGGCGGCTGCTATAACTGTACGCATTACTCTTTTTGCACCTGGTCTCTTTCTGGTTCCTCAGGCTTCTTGGTTTTTTTTTGCTAAGGTGTTTTTGTTTTTCCAGCTTTGCTCGGATTTAACTTCTTCACCTAAATCATCACTACCACTACCCTTTTCACTTGTAGGGTAATTAATAAGTTTTGAGTATTTACACTTTTAATTGATTGGTAGGGGGCTCTTCTCCCCTCCAAACTTTGTACTTTAGTTTATATTATATGGCTTTGCACTTTATGGTTGGAAGAAGAACTTCTTTGGTTGTGGTTATTAAAAAGGAAAAATATAAATAACATCGCTTGAAGCAGCCAAGAAAAGGGGGAATCTCTACATTAAAGATGGGCGTTACTAATCCCCTACTCCATGACTCTGAAATTAAGTTCAATGAACCTATTTTTCTTTCAGCTGAAATTGACTTTTTCGAAGGTAGCAATCTCTTCTTATTACGTCATAATTTTCCTTATTATCTGTAGGGACTGAAAAGTTATTAGAAATCTGGTTTGAAAAGGGTACATACTCTGTCTCCTTGAGATCTGTTTCTTATGAAAAAGTAAAAACATTACTGGATCTGGTGAATTATATATTTTTACCGTTAAAATGGTGTTGACAATTTAATTTTTTAATTAAGGTGAATTGCACAATTTTAAGTAAAACCAGTAATAATAGTTTTGACGCGTATGTATTAAGGTTTTTTTACTTACCTTGTTTTTATATCTTTATATTCTTTTTCAACAGTTCTACACATTTTCAGAGTACATATCATTAAAGATATTTATTCTTATTATTTTTTGACTCAGTGAAAGTTCTTTATTTATTTATGACGAAAAATTAATTTTGAAAACTTGCGGTACGACGTCTTTGCTTTCCTCTGTTCCTTTTATTTTAGACCTCGCTTGTAACCAAGTAAGAAATTTACTTTAGTTGTTATTCCGTTTATGACATGTTTAGTGCGCTCTCCGCGTTGGCGATGTATTTTATTCTCATAAACAATTTCTGAGACCTGAAAGTCAACCCTTTCCTCACAACAGTTTTACTAGTGAAGTCAAGTTTCTGGATAAGTTTTTTAGGGGCGCTTCGTATGCTTTAGGTTTTTATATATTTATATATATACACGTTTCGTACCTTTTAAGTACTATTAGGGCGTTTGGATGGAGATCTTTGGTATCTCTATATAGTAAACAAGCTTAGAATTCCTGCGGCACCTAAGATTCACTTGCCGGTTTTATTTTTTTATTTTAAGAATTTTAAAAACTTTACACATATTTATATTTTGTTACATTTTATATTATATCTGAAAGCTTGTTAAAATAATTTAATTTTAAAATCCATTGCTATATGTATATTTGCATATATCATGGCACTCCATTATTTTTTTTCTTATTGTCATATATAGCACACCGACCAAACGCTGGAGATTATGATGAACGATTTGTCCTCCGCGTGCGCTTCAAAATTCTTTCGGCAAGCGAACACGCCTGCTACTTTGATGACGGAGGTTCTTGCATTGCACGTGTACTATGCCACTGCGCGGCACATAATCTCTCGTAGACTTCCGGCATCTCCCGTCTATTTGGTGATGCGGTGGTTGATGCCTTCGCCTTTGATCCCTGCGGCTACTCCTGCAACGGGCTACTTGGAAATCACTACTTTACTATTCACGCGACTCCTCAAAGCGGCTCCTCGTATGCAAGTTTCGAAACTAATTATCCTTTTGGAAACTACACTGAAATTGTTAATCAGGTAAAAGAAAGGTTATTTATTTTTGTACCGGGCTAACTTTTTTTGTTTTTTTGTAGGTGTTGCAGATTTTTCAGCCGCAGCGTTGCAGTATTTCTCTTTTTTTGAATTCCTTCGAGTGCGGCTCATCTTGTGAGGATTTTATCGTTCACGGCTACGAGAGGCTCCACAAACAACTTCTCTACTTCGAAACTTACAATCTCTGTTTTGCTCAGTTTCACAAAACAGCACCTTCAGAGTAGCACTGCTTTATGGGGACTTGTACAGAAAAGCATCTTAATCTTAGTATCACGTTCTTCTGCCGCTTTATATGTTTTCATAATGATAGTTTGTTTAATAAAGTCACTGCTTTTTATTTTTTTTTTTTTATCTTTAGTACAATAACTTTCGTAATCTAGCACCATTACTAGAATAGTTTTTGTCTCCTATTGGTTTTGAAAAGCTTTGCTAATAGCATTGTACTCTATTTAACAGGATCTTTGATAGAGAAATAGTTATAAAAAAGACCATAAAGAGTATTTGTTAGAAAGAGCTTCTTTTTACGTCAGCGAGATATTGATTGCGAAACGAGCAGTAGGCTGAAAATTTCTGAACTTAAATTCTGGTTGTTTTGAAAGCATAATCACTATAGTTCTAAAGTTCGTATATTGACCCATAAGTCATAGTTGTCTGCCTGTGAAGCATCGAAGGATCTTATAAGAAGTGTTATTAGCTTTCGACTCCAGGTTTTAAACTTGGAGGTTAAAAATGCTGTACAAAGAGCTAATTTCGCCCCTCAGTGTGTATTATATGACTGTCGCCCTGAAATTTAGGAAATCACTGGTCTAAACTGATAACCGAAATGGTCCTCATGCGTTGTTTGTAATGTTTTGCAACACTCTGATCACCAATGAGCTAAATAAGTTTAAAGGCAACGTTGCTTCTTTTTTTTTTTTTAAGTAAACCTTAAATAGCTATCTTTGAAGTCTATAAAAATTTATTTATAAATAAGTACAGACCTTAAAATAAAATGGATAGAAAGGCGTAATATTGTCCGTAAGAATAGAAAGTTTGCTTATTTAGTTACTGTGAAGATTAAATTTTTATATATTGTTTTTATTAATGGAGGTGAAAATATTTCTAATATTCTACAACAGGGATATATTGATATCCTTTTGCCAAATTCTATTTTAAGAGTTTTTTGGATAATATTAAGGGAATCAATATGGATTTTTTTAATTGATCCCTTTTCTTTAAGTTTGTTTTTTTAATAGTAGTAGTTATGTTACTATCTTTGTGGCTCAGCGTGTTTTCCAAGTTTACTTGGTTTCTTCAACAATAAATAATTTTTTTGTTCTTTAACCGAGAAGTACGCAATGTACCTCGGTTAAATGTTTGTGAAAGAAAAATTAGTTTACTGTTGCTGGAGTGGAGCAGTAACATAAGTAAAAAGTTTTTCTTGTTTTCATATTGTTAGCTCTGTGCATTGTCAGTTAGATGAGCTCTAGTGATAGGTTCGGAAGTTGGATTTTAAGTTGCGTGTACATAATATATAAGTATTATAAATTTGTTAATAATATCCGCGCGCGTAAGCGACGTATAAAATCGCTTGAGATTTTGATCTGTCAGGTTTAGTGCAAGTATTCTCTTCCTTTATTGTTTATGATTTAAACGCTAAAGTAAAATTCGCAAAATTACTGAGGAAGCGACCTTCAGAATTAACAATTTGGAAAATTATAAATTCGCTCTAGAGTAAATTCTTAGGTATTGCTAAAAAAAAATATTTTTTTAAATACTTTACATCGCGACTTTTTTTTTAACATAGACTTATAAAATAGAATTCTACTATCGTTATTTTAATAACTCCATCTACGCGAATTTTGAGCCAGTTTTTAGTTTTAAATAGCTCCTCTTTTAAATATGTAATTTATATTTATACAACATCATAGAGAGCTTTCGTAGCTCAGAAGTAGTTAAGCTATTTAAAATACAACACTTCATATTGGAGATTATTGAAATAGTTATAGTAATAAAGAAGTGATCGTATTTCGGTTCTAACAAAACTTCAAATTTCTTAGGGCGCCCTTCTGCGGGCTATAAATTTTGTTTTAAAATAGTTGTAACTAATCATTTACCCTTGAACCTTATTAAAATCAGTATTTAATTTCTATCTCGTTGAACTTGGTAAATATTAGCTTACTGTAACTAAATAGTGTTCGCAATTAAGGGTTTTTACGATTTTTAAGTGTTCTTAAAACCCTGTTATGTTGTGTTTTAAAAAAAAAAGTAAGCTACGGTCTATTTTTCCAACAAACTAGACATCTACTCAAACTGGTTTTCCTAATCTTCAATAATAAAGGCATTACTTTGTAAACTTTCTGCCAGGTCAAAATAGCTTAGAAATCACGACTGAGTCCACCATCTGCTAGGAGTTGTGCTCGATAAGCCATAATTTGGGGGTTTCTGTTCTCGGGTATACGGATACTGTTTTTGTTTACCTCAAACTTTTAGAAAGGCGAAAGGTAACAAAGGGTTTAGGCTGTAGAAAAACTTATTACTAACCTTAATGGAAGTTACATTGTGCTTGTAGACTCTTTGACTGTTAATTTTATTATGGAGTTTGAACCATACCAAACCACCTTCAGTGACGTAAATAAATTACAACAGCCTTTTCCCTATCAGCCAAGCATCTTTGACGGTAAAAGGTTAAGAAAACGCGTTCAACGAAAGACTGTGGACTATTTTGGCAGTGTGCTGCGATATATTGAAGTACACTTTTGAAGAATTACTATTAATAATTTGTAAATGAAAAATTAAGATTTAAAAACTTATTTAGTTTTATGTGTATAATACTTACTTAACAAAACTGTTTTAGTCTCGCCCATGGATGAAAAATCCACGTAAGGAGTCGTGTCGTTTGGCTGCCCACTTTAATTATTATCTTCAGGCAAGCCAACTTTAATAAGACTCTCTAAGGAGACTAATTACTATAAATTTGTTATTTTTTAAAATTATTTTTAGCTCCTTCCACCTGCAGCTTATCCTTCGACTCCTGCTAATGCCATTTGCACGAAGTACGTTCATACCTCTTTAAATAAAAATAGGCACCCTATTAATGTTTGTAAGGTTACTGCGTCTTTTCCTTTATTCTGTTTGCCTTGCTGTAAGACATTGTTTGAAGTACATGCCAGATGGGAAAAGACTTATTACAGGATTATCTAGCGGCGAATTTACTTTGTGGAATGCTTTAACCTTCAATTTCGAAACAATTTTACAGGTTAATTACTTACTTTACATAAAAAATAAACGATGTTCTAGATCTATTCCGGTTAGGCCCACGATCAAGCTGTCAGGACTATGATTTGGAGCCATGACAGTAAATGGATGCTCACTGCTGACGATTCAGGCTGTATTAAATACTGGCAGTCAAATATGAATAACGTTAAAGAGTTTCAGGCGCACGAATGTCCGCTTCGAGAGGCGGCGTAAGCTATCTAACGTGGTATCGATCTTGCACCACTTTTTAGGTTATTTTACAGATTTTCGCCTACTGACGTAAAGTTTGTGACTGGCGCTGACGACAAAAAAGTTAAAATTTTTGATTTTAAAACGTGCCAAGAGGAACGGATCTTGGAAGGTAGATGAACTTGGTTATTTTTACAACACTCCAATATGCTGTTTGCACAACGAAGGACACAGGTCGGAGATCCGTTGTGTAGACTGGCATCCAAAAATGGGACTAGTAGTTTCTGGCGGAAAAGACAAGTTAGTTAAATTGTGGGAGCCGCGCTCTGGTCAAGTAGTGCACACCATGTAGGTTTTTTTTTTTTTTTTCAAAAAAAAATAATGAAGCGAATGGTCACGTGTACTTACACTTCATCAAAAAGAAAAGATCATAAAAACTATGTTATGAAAGTCAAGTTTAACCAAAATGGTACACGTTGATATGCACAAAGCCCTTCAATCTTCTTTCTTATGCCGGTTTGTAGGAAACTGGTTCATCACTGCCTGCAGAGATCTGCTGATCCATATGTACGACGTGCGGATGAACAAGGAAGTTCAAGTATTCAGCGGCCACGAAAAAAGAATCACGAGTTAGTTGTCCTCGCGTTTCGCTTTTCTGGCTGTAGCTAAACTTTGCCTTTGAGCTCATCGCAGCCATCGCGTGGCATCCCGTTCTGGAAAAGTTGTTTGTTAGCGGCGCGGAGAAGGGCGACACTCCCGGCGAATTCGGGGCCATCAAGTACTGGTTGGTCGGGTAATTTTATGTTAATATTTCTTTTGGTTGCTCTTATTTTTTTTGACTTGTTTAGAAAAGAAACAGAAGCAGGTGGAATCCAAAAGGCACACGAAGGTTGAAGTGAATCTCGAACCCCTTTTGATGCCCCATTATAAATCCTTGCTAAGGTCATGTGTTTTGCATTGACTGGCACCCCCTCGGCCACATTCTCTGTTCAGGCTCCAATGACCACGCCACCAAGTTTTGGACAAGGTATAACCGTAAGCCTAGCAAACTGCTGTCGATCTTTAGTTTCTCTCTCGTATAGAAATCGACCGGGCGACGCAATGCGTGACAAGTACAACCTGGACATTGGCGAGGAAGACGTCCTGGAAACAGTGGAGAATGGTATTTGCTGCGGAGGGCCGCTGCTGTAGTGACTAACGCCCCGTAAAGACTCGAGCTTTAGCGTGCCGGGACTAGAGGGTGCTGCAGCTGTCCAGCACACGTGGCTGAAGAACGGCAACCGATTCGGCGCGCATGACAAAAGAACCGTGCCCGCTGCCAGCGTCAAAGACCGCATGGCAGAGCCCGCCCATGGAGCAGTCAACCGCGCGTTCTTCATATCCGGAGAGCCACGTGGAGACCCTTTTATGCAGCCGCCAGTCCATGCCCATGCTTTTTACCCTCCCAACCACATGGGCGGCATTGAACATGCGCTGTCCCTTCCGCCTTACGCCCCCGTCTTTCCCTCTTCTCTCGAATTTAGTACGTGTTCTTTTTTCTTTTAAACTTCTACTTAACTGTGTACCCCCAGATGCCCGCCCGCATGGCTATCCTCAACACTTTTACGCCGCTAATGCCCTAAATAACCAACCCGTATATGGGGGGAGTGGCCACGCACTGGGAGTATACAGGCCACTCACCGCAGATCCAATGCGACCAAGGCCCTCTCCACGCCCTCGCAGGCCGGGAGCTCCACAGTGAGCTCAAGTTCATTAAAAAAAAAAAAAAAAAAAAAAAAAAGATTTACTTTTATTCATAAAAAAACAACACGATAAAGTTCCTCTTCGATTGAGCTTGCGAAAGTACTACTCGTAAGCGGGCCCGGCGAGGCGGTGACTGGCACGTGTCAAAGCCTTTCTCCCAGAAATTATTGCTTAGGTGTGACCTCGTGGAGAGCAGCGGAAGTAGTCGTCTGTGAGAGAGAAACCAGCGACTGAATGGCCTCCTCCATCTGCGTCGGCTGCTTATTTAGTAAAGTGTACGAAATCCTGTTTTCCCTGCATAAAGGTAAAAGCGCCGGATAATACGCAAAGAGGAGAATACACGCACTTATTGTCGCTGGCGATGTTTTGCGCCAGTAACGGTCCGTCGACTGTTGCTTGCTTTTTCTTATAGGAGCGCTTCTTTCTGGCCTCTGGAACGCTCTTATTCACATTCGCATTGGCCAGTGGCGGCAGAGCTGTTTTCTTACTGGCTGTAAGGAGTTTTAATGAGTATGTCAAGCAGCTGAAAGTAATAAAAAAAAATACATGTGACGAGATCGAGCAAAGCGCCGACCATTGCGCTGTCAGAGTCGTGACCGGAATCGCCCGCCTCCTGTTTGGTGGTCTTCTCCTTCAGTTGGTTGCTGGCTTCCGACGACGCTTTACGGGCTCCACTTAACTCTGAAAATTATTCAGTTGCTACAAAATAAATCAAACGATAAAAATAAAAATAAAAAAACTTTTTTCTGGCAACGGTGACGAAGCCGATTCCTTCTGCACTGCATCAAGCGAGGAGGAGCTGCGATGGCCGTGACCTTTTTTTTTTGAGGCAGAGCCCATTTCTAGAGAAGACCGGGAAGGACTGAGGACATCGCCGCTGAAATCCGTTAGCGGTCCTTTCGTAGCTTCTTTGTCTTTTTTGGATTTTTTGGATTTTTTCTTTTTTTCTTTAAACTTTTTGTGTTTGTTACTAAGGAGCACTGAAACGCCTTCCTCCTCATGGCCTTCATCGGTGGATTTAAGCTTCTTATTACTTTGATCGACCTCTTCTGGAGTGGCATCCGCCACTACGGATCTCTTTGAAATTCCTGAGGGGGAAGGGCGATCCAAAGTAATAGTGCCAGCTTCAACCCCAACCGCAGAGCGCGGGATATCACTTTTCGGTTCAGCAGTACAACTGTTTCCGTTAAGCTGAATGGTGTGATTTTCGGTGCCGATTGGGGTCTCTATTGCAGGAAAAAAGATTATCTACAACAGGGGGGAAATAAAAAAAAATTACCCGAAGAAAAGTTATCTTTTTTCTCTCGAGTTATTTCCTTTTCTAATAATAAAGAGTTTTTTTCAGGAATAGGAGATTCTATAATAAAGTTTGCAAAGAATAAAAAATATTTTAAACAAATTTCTTAAGTTAATAGCTGAAATCCCAGTACTTTGGAGTATAGAGCACGTGGATGGGTTTTTGTTACCGTTAACACTGAAAGGCGTACTGCACAAAAGGTTTCTCCATTCTTTATAAAAAAAATTAAGATGTGGTTTTTATAAAAAAATTTTGAAGTAAAACAAACCTCTTATAAGTGCATTGTGAACGAAACATTCTTCGAAAGGAATAATATAAGAATTCCAATAGTTGATAGGAGAAAATCTTTCATATGTATAAAACCTATCAGAAGTCTTACAAACTAAATTTTAGTAATACAAATACATGTACCCTCTATTTGAATTGCTTTGTGTCAACGTGAATAACAAATCATTATCGGAAATGCACCGGCTAATCGTATAACGAGGAAGAAGATCACCATTGGTGGGGTGCCGAACACCAATAACGTCGAGAGCACTATATACCATACACTGATTTAAGAAGTATAGATAATAGTACGGAAAGTAACCCATCTTCGGGATAAAGTTCAGAATGCACAGAAACAATTTCATTCACCAAATCCGCGATGGTCAATTCGGAATCTATTAATACGCAAAATTTTCTCAGGCCTGTGTAAACCAATATCTTCCAATTCATCAATATTTACTTACAATAAACAACCTATAATGAAGATGAAAGTGTTCATATAACAATTGAGCTGGAATATTTAGTGAGTTGTGAATAAGTCACGTGCTACCCACGCTCTATCATCAAGATGATCACGTGCGTTTAAATTGTTTATTTCGGGGTTTTCTAATTGCAAGGCTTCACTTCCCTTTGGCCCTTTTTTTTCGTTTTTGAACTAGGTAAAAGTCTATTTAGTGTAGCTTATTACATGAATCTTGAATAATTTATATGATAATTAAATATAGTCAAGTTTTTTAAAGCCAACATAAGAAAGACCCTTGGATATATATTATACCTACAGCTTGTGAAAGCCTAGCCGTATAGGGACGCACCCTTATGAGTCATACAATTGTCATACTGTACTTGAAAAATTTTGCTTGCTACAATAGGGGTGGCCAACTGTTTACTTTAACCTGAAGTCTTTAGTTATTAGTATTATCGTTTCCTTTTTAACAAAGTGTGATAATGTTTTTATTATATTGTAGCAACTATATTTTCTTCTTAGTTTGATAGTATTCAGCGTAGATTTTTTGATAAGCATATATTGTTATAGCGTTTTGTAAGTTAAGTTTTATTTAATAAAAATTATTTCCCGACTACCCTAAAAGAACGTAATATTATTAATACATATTTATGACACAGCGATGCTAACTTCGGGGGTTGATAGTTTTTTTTAACAATTTAAGCTTTACAATAGATATAATAATAATAAAGCTTATGCTTTTGCAAAACCTGAGGAAGATCTTTAACTTCGTTTTATCTGTTTTTGTTCTTTATATACATTTTCTTTATTAACGCAAAACTAAAAGATGAGTTATTATTACTTATTCTTAGAGGACATTAGTTTGTTATAATTATTCATATATAACCAAACTTTCATTCTTGTACTTCCGTTGGAAAGGAGGTATAACATATGTTAAACCGGGCTATTTCATTTGGACGGCCGTGCATTTACATTGGAAATTTTTTTAAAAAATTAACTAAATATAAGCACTTTAGCGCTTCTTAATTGGAGGTTAACAGTAAATTAAATTTTTATTTGTTTCCAAAAAGTTATAAACGATAATATATTTCACTTTAAATATTACTCCACTATTTCTTTAAGTACCAATTTACGCTGAATCTTATAAAAAATGAAACAGTTTTTTTGCTGCAGTAATGTCCACGATCTAGAGACTGTTTTAATTTATAAAGTTTTTTAACAAAGTAGTAAAAAATGATATTTAAGAAAAAGGGAGGAAACATCTACAATATAAACAACGATTCCAGAACTTTTTTAGGAGGTTGGAAAGTTTCATATAATTACCCTTGTTAAAACAAGACTATGTATACCCTTGTGTTAAGTCTTATCCTCAACTGTATTTGTTTCTATAATAGAAACATAATTACAGCTTATTGTTTCTCTTTTTTTTATGAAAAAAAGTTACATATAATACGATAGAAAATTTTTTTTAGATTGTTATAGTAAAAAGACACAAATTTACCTTTAAAGGCTCTCTATCAAAGTCAAGAAGTCTGAGCCCTATTAATATTATTTACCAAATTTCTTTGAAGATCGCGGGTTCTTCATCGGCAAACAAGTATAAGCACGCAGTTGGGAGGTGATTTCGGCTTACAAAATGAACATATAAAACCCGTTATAATTTTCTAAGAAAATAGTATTCATTGAGTTGGGCCAAACTAGAGACATTCATGAGAATAGTTAAAAACTTCAGCGCTAAACAACCTTAAAAATTCCGGGTCACCTTATTCAAATTCTTCGATTTACCCAAAAACCCAAACAAAACATCTAACCACCGACAAATACAAAACAGAGCCACCAGCCAAAGTTTCGCTGCTATCTTACTCTAAAACTAAGTTAAACCCAAAATGAAAGTTTAACGCTTTCATCCACCTCATAGCCTACCAACCACTACGCCTTTAGACCTCATAAGCAAAGAAGCTGTAACTCCGAATGGTACACGCCAAAGCACAAAAAGTAAAGCCAAGACGTGCGTTTTAACTCTGGAGTGCCAACTTCGTTATACTCCATGGGAAACGCCACTACTGAAGTTTAAGCAGACTACCGCAGTGGAGCTAGAAGGAGATAGGATTGTTCAAGCGTGGCACATGTTCGAATAGGACCAATATATACTAAGATTTGCTTGTCTTAAAAATGTTGGACACATGAAGAACACGGAAAAATTTGTACAAAAATTTTACTAATAATCGTGGGCGACTGAGAGATAATGAAAATATTTGATCTACATAGAGTAAGTTATAGCTATTAAAGCCCTTCTTAATAACTTTATTTACTGCAGCTTCTCACTTTTACAAGTAACGGAGAGGTTCATTTAACTAGTTAGGCTTCTTAACGCTCTCGTTTGTTAAATAAATTATTAGAAAACACGGCTACCTTTACTTTAATAATACTAATATTAACAAAAAACGTTCTAAAATTGAGTAAGGCTTTAGCATGCCAATTTTTAAGACAGGTTCCTTTACTGTTAGTTCTTTAATATATATGACAATATGTAATCGGCTTTCTTATTAATAAGGCTGCAATAGTACTATAAAGCTTCTTTTCGGGAACAAAACTATGATTAACGTGCTTTTTTTAAGTCCGTCATTAAATATTAACCAGAGTTAAATGGCAAAATTAACATCTGTTATTAATAGTAAGTGCAAATCTACACTGTAAAATTTGTTAAAGCATTAACATCAAAGTCTAAAGCTAAATCTAAGTTAGCTATCAGTCTCGCCCTTTATCGGCTGTTCCTCCCATACTACTTAGTATTTAAGTCTTTAAAAACCTTTTGTTGCAATGCGGCAGGCGTAACATTACAAGAATTTCTCATACAAAGCGGCTGAGATGTTTATACCTAAACGATACACAAACAGCATAAAGCGCGGAGGGACCGCGCAGTGTTACGTGAGGAAATCAGTAACTTTGCAGGCAGTGGAGTGCACTCTCAAAAAAAAATAAAGAAAAAAAGAAGTTAATGAAGCATCTCTATGAAAAAGTAAATCCCTGTTACCTAGGAACACTTGATCAGCATATACCTATTGTAGTCTTAATTTGGCGCTTGACGTAAAACATAAATGGCCTAGCGTAGATACTGAAGTTTTGAAGGACCTTTCTAAATCTTTCTCCACGAATACCAAACGAAATTTTTATTAAATAAATACAATAACTAGCTAGAGAAAGAGACAAAGTTTTTATTTGTAAAGCGCAGTTAAAAAAAAAGAAATTAATTAATTACATCTACGTATTATTAGTCATAAAAGGGTTAATAACGCTATTTTTAATATCAAGTACTGGAGATTACCCCGCCATGTTTCGTGCTTTGCTGTTTTTGGGACATAAAAAAACGCTCTGCATTACAATTATATATTCGCACATTTCTGGAAATCTTTAAAAAATAAGCTTATTGCTAACTACTACTACCTACATCAAGTTATTGATTGCACTAAACATTTTTTTTGAACTATTTTGTTGATAAGTAAAAGTATCTATCTACAAAATACTTTACAGCGGTATGATGAATAAATTTTAATCTCAGTGGCTTCGCAAAGCGAATAGCTTAACACTCCCAACGCGCTTAACTAACCTATCTTTTAAAAAAAATGAATTTAACTAAAACTGAAGCTTCTAATAAATATTAAATTTAAAGTCGTTCTTTCTTCTTCAATGAGTGTATTCTTTCTATAAATTTTAAAATTGGAATAAAATCTAATGCTTCACAGAGTAATACTCTTAAGAAATTTATTTAAATAAGTACATCAACGTGAACAAGAGGCAGCCTATTATGAATGTAATAGATTTTAGTAATTATATAGTAGTACAATTCTACTGTACTTGTATCCAAAAATCGAAAAAAATTGATTAAATTATTATGAAATTTATATAAATTGAAGTTAAGTACTTAAAAAAATCGCTTAATAATTACTAATTAAAACAAATAAATACCACGATATGTAAATCTTTTTAATAAAAATTTTAATACAACTTTTACTTTAAGCTTTTCTTTATTTTTAGGTTAGTTATCTTTTTGAAAAAGAATTATAAAAATGTAGTAAATATTACTAGTAACGCACTTTTTTATATTATTCCTAACTCATAATTTTCTAAATTATTAAATGATAACTACAAAGTCTTTTAATATAATTTTTATTATACTTTTACTTTCTTTTTTTTTAATAGTAATAAAGTTTACTATTATATTTATTAAACTAAATTATTTGAAAAATCTTTAAAAACTACAACAAAAACTTTTACTTTGAATTTTTATTATTATTTTTTTAACTATGCTTAACTTTGATTTGAAAATTAAACATAATTGGAAGGTAAAGCATGCTATTAATTTTTTCTAATTTTTAATTAAATATAAAGCCTCTCAAAATTGATTCACATATAATTTATTTTTTACTTTGCCTAATTTTCTCTGAAAGGTAAAAAAAGTTAGTAGTAAAAATTACTATTTAATTGATTAATTAATAAAATTTTATTATAACTTTTACTTGAAATTGTTATTATCAGTTTTTACTTCGCTTAGCTTTCTTGAAATTTTAAAAAAAATTAGTAGCTAAATTAATTAGAGTTTTTGATAAATTTTTATATTAATAATAACAATAACCGGCGATGATTGCAGCGATGATGTACTGATCTCTTTTTTTGCGCACGCCGATGCGTTGGACGAGGCGGTTTATTCCTGGAACATTTTCTTTACATGAAATATAAACTCTTAAAAAAATTTAAAATTTAGAATAAAAAAAATTCAGTTTATTTTCCAATTTTATTATAAATAAGGTGAGTTATAAAAAAAATTATAATTATAGTAAATAATATGTATTTGTAAATTATTTTTTATATGAAGAAATTGATTTAAAAATATTAGTTTCTCATAACTGTAACATAATTATAATCTAACAAATTTCTATTATTATTTGGTTAACCTTAATTACGTTTAAATATTTCACTAATTGAAAATTTAAAAAAAAGTTTTTTTTTAAATTTTCTAATTTCAAGAATAATAAAGATTTGTTACCTGTGATTTTCCTCAATGAAGACTGATTAGATTGAAGACGCTCGCTTTCGCCCAGCAACTGCCCGTATAAACTAGAAGCAGCGCTTGAAAGTAAACAATTATAAAAAAAAGGATATATAACATTCAAGATTTTAAAAATTTTAAAATTATTTGCTACAAAAACAATGAAATGAGATTAACTAATTGCATAAAATTTATTAATTATGTTAAAAAATTATTTTTTTATTAATAAAATCTTTAACTTTTAAAAAATTCTACAGAAATAGATAACATATTTTTATAAGACATCTGCAAGTACTTTAAGTTTTCTTCTGCTTCTTTTTGTATATCAATCACTCGCGCATTTTCAATAGAGTAGTACTCGACAGGGTTTTTATACTCACTTGAAAGAGAAAACATTATATATTAAAGCTAGCTGCTGTTATTCTTGAAATTAAGTGTGTATAAAAATAGACAAATAAAATTCTCTAAGAAAACCTAATTTCTCTACGGGCATCACCTACAAGAAAATTTCTTGTTTTTTGATTGCTAACGGCAGTCTTATAATTATGTAAAGTTAGTTTTTTTTTAGTCACTTAAAGAAGACTCATATTACTGTAAAACTATAGGAATAAAAATTACTCGTGTAGTTTGAAATTCACGCGAAAGAGAAAGTAAATGTTCTTGGTGACGCCGTAACTGTGCGCTTTTCACAGAAGCCGGCGAACTTTCGGACATTAGTACAAGAAGTTCCTTTAGCTAAAAAAAAAAGTTTTCGCCGAGAAAATTAAATTAACTGGGGCAAGATTTACAATGCCTGTAGTAGTAAATCTTGTATTTCTTTTTCGTAAACTTCATAAAGTTTTTCTTCCCTATATATAAAAAATAATAGATACGTTTATAAAACTTTTCTATAAACAGTACTCCTCTGAAACTGTATAACATTCCAGTTGATTTGCGTAGGAAGATAACTTAACATTTATTTTATTTTCTAGACGAATAATATCCCCTACAAGAATAATAACGTATTTTTTATAAAATCATAAAGAATTCTCCTATACAAAAATTATGATAAAACCTTCAACGGACGCCATTCTTTAGTACTGAAGCTTTTGTTATCCGAGAGAAGAGACAGATAAAAATACTACACTAACAATATAAAGAATAAAAAATAACCTTTTAATTATATTTTTTTTACTGAAAGTTTTAAATTAAGACTTTTGCTTTTATTATATTCTCACTAACAACCAGAATAAATTTAAGTGTTCTGCCCTTTTAGGTTTGAAATGAACCTGAACACATCTAACAAAACTTGTCCTTTACCCTCTACAATTTTCAGTGGGAGTTTGCCGTTTATGTTTACTATCAAGTGCTAAGTTAGTTTATATATTTATGCTCTCATAAGACGAATATTAAGTTTAAAAGTATTGCATTGTGAATAAATTATCTAATATTTTACATCAAGATATATGTTTTTTAGCTCCCCTTTTTTTATTGTATTATAGTTTATTTGCTTTACTTCTTATTATAGCATGCTTAAATAGGATTTAAAAAAGCAGTTAAATATTTATTTAAAAAATAGAGATAGGCTAGATGTAAACATTAAGGATTAAATCTTTATATAAAAAGATGTAAGTTGTAGGTCTCTGCGCAATCGTGTAATAATGTTTTTGTATTTTAGTCGCTTAGATATTATTTACTAAAAATATGTAATATAAAGGGCCCATGAAAGTTTTCAAGACAAAAATTAAATGATAAACTTTTCGTAGTTTAAAGTAACGGAAGGTTTGTTTTATTAAGTTATCTACTAAGCAAAGTATTGTGAGCTAATGGTATAAAGAATTTATAAGATATAATTGTACCAGAAATCTCGAAAATAAGAATAAGGTTTAAGTTTTTCATTCGTTATTTGTACAGCAAAGAGACAAAGTCAACCTACAATAAAAATGGCCCAAGATAAATCGTACATAGCTATATGACGTTGCCTGAATTAACTAGCATACTGTTTTATAGAAAGATCGGTTGTCTCTGTGAAAAGGTACATATAGAGTTTTAAAGATTGTTAACAAGTTACTAAAAAAAACTACTAACTAGTAGCTAACTAGCTTCTCTGATGCAGAAGAAAGTTTTACTAAATAATCTAGAGCACCAGGGATTCTCAAAGGGGCTGTTGTCAGGCGCAAACCTAGCTAATAGTGGAGCTAAGCCTAAGTTAAACTCGTCAACTTTAGTACAAAAAGAAATTGATAGTTTAAAATTTTAGCTATGATCATTAAAACTATAAGGGAGTATTTATTATCTATTTCCAAAATACTGCGAATCGATTCACGTATAAGTTAATTCAGAGCTGGCTTCGCTAGATACTGCTAGGTTGGAGCTATATACACTTGACTCGTGGTATATTAGTTATAGCTTTCCATTATATAATTAGTTATAACAGGTTTTACTTGTGATACTTATCCTACTTATATTTGATCCGAACTTAAATTAGTTGTAATTAATTATTGTTGGATATAATAACTACTTATCCGAGAAGAAGAAATTTTTAAAGTTTGGACTAAGTATAATACGGCATTGTCGCTCGTAAGCTAACTTCGACAATTTATTGAACATTTTTTTTAAAATTTATCCAGATAATCACCTCGCAACTATACACTGAAACGAAGGGAGAAGTAGACAAGGAAATGCCTTGAACCTGGTGCAGCTTTTTCAAAACAGTCCACAAAAAATTTATTTTGAGACTTAAATTTATAACCGCATTTTTGTAAAGTTGTCGGGTTTTATATAGTAATGCCGCACTTGGCTTAAAGCTTAACAGAAATTCCCGGCGCACATATGCTACTCAGCAAGACCATTATTTGCCACCAGCGAGTACTGACCGTTTCATGAAAGCAAGAAAATTGGCGTACATGTATGTATAAACCTAAAAAAAATACCCCCCTCCACAACGCTGAGATTCTAAACTGAAAGCAACTAAATTAACCTTTATGAAGCTTCGGGTTATGCAAGCGTACTCGCCATGTGGTTTATAATAGCTCCGGTTTTTTATTTTTTTTTTGCTACCTTTCAGCCCTTCGGGAGATAAAAATTGAAGAAGTAAAGCCTTGGGTATAGCATGGCTAAGACATCTAGCTTACACTAACTGCTAATCTGAGGGTGGTATCTGTTGCAAACTTATAACTGCTAACGAAATATCATTTTAAAAAAAATAAATAGCCCTTATCAGTGCTTGGGCAGTTCTCTTAAAACAAGTTATAAGTTAGACCTGGTCATTCCTTTCTTAATAGTGCGTGCTTTTTATAAGCGCAGTTATACAAATCTTTAGTTATATCACGCGTTAAACTTTTTAGGCTCTATATAAAAGTTTACGGTAGTATTCTGCCTCCAAAAGGGCATCTTTTGAGTACAAAGATTTGTATGATTTAAACAGTTTTAAATCCTGTCTCGTCGTTACCTGTTATTTGTTTTTGTGTGTATAAAGCTTATTAATTTTTAAAATACCTTAAGAATCCAACCCTTGCAGAAGAGGAGAATTTAGATTAAGCGGTTTAACCCTATAGTAGTCGCACCTCTTATTAGACATTAGTAGTCTCTCAGGCCCCTTGTCTTATAAATTTTTTACTTTTAAATTAAATGAAAAATACCGTAAATTTTTGAGCAATTGCTGTTTATTAAGATTTTAAAAAAATACAGGTCACACATGCTCATCCTTTAGATCTGGACTCTGTCATTTATTTAACTTCAATGAGGCGAAAAACCCTTTAGCTTTCTCTTGATCTTTCTACATAGAGAGCTACCTCTAAAAGATTATTTTATAAATATCTTAGAATTTTCTATTCTTTAAAATCTTAAATTTTAATATATTAAACAATTTAAATGATTTATATATTTTATATTTTATATCTTAAATAACACTCTACTTTAACGTCTATCTAATTTGAAAATTTAGAAAACAAAATAATTTCCAGAGCAGTGAGACCCCCTGCGACTTCTGTAGGGGTAAGGTCTTAATAAAAAAAGAAGACCGGCCATTGCATGCCAGAGCCAAAAAATACCTTTCGAAGAAGTTTTTAGAAGGCGATATTGTAACGGCTTTAAAAACGCTATCATTTTGTATAATTCCCTATAAACGCCAATCGCTCTCCTTCATGTTATAAGGTAACTTTTAAGGCCTTAAATTTTGCTCAGTGGGGTCACCTTATTAGCCTTCTCACTGAGGAAAAAATATGGAGCAAGCAGCTTAAATTAAAGCAAACGACTTTGGTATGTTAAAAAACTATAGATAATACATGAACTGAGAAATAAAACACCTTTCCTAATACCGGCATGACTAATGCCATTGCAAAGTCTGTATCTTGAAGCCGCCTTCTCTACTGGTGGTGATTATCATAATTTACCAAAACACGTTGTTTACTAATGCTATAAGACTCCAAGAACTAAACTTGAAGATTTTGACTATAAAAAAGTTCCACAAAACTTCTGTCGGTTTATTATGCAAGGGTAGCCGCAGTATGGATTCAATATTACATATAAAGTTTTAGCAAATAAGTTTTTGAAGGTCAGATTAAATTACTTTTCTTTTATGTGATGATGGCATGTTCCCGAAAAGAATCAGTGGTAGGATCAAATCTGAGTATTCTCATAATAAATTACCGCACCCAACAGGGAAGGGAAGCCTTCCACAGTTGTGGTTTATTTCGACTTTGTAGGGGCACGAGTTTGAATCCCGGAGGCAGCGAGTCCATGAAGAGCTAGGGTTTAGGAGTTAAAATAAGTTATGTTCTAAACTTCTGAACCTCTCTGGGTGCTACGGCCCACTGTTAACTCTTGCTCTAGGGGCGCGTAGTTTAACATATATTAACTATAGCGCCCACGTCAATAGCGCTGGAGTGAAAAAGCAAAAAAGAACTATTGAATTATTTTACGCCCACACTTGTATAACAAAAGTGAGATAAAGGCCCGTTAAATGAGCAAAGATGTACCAATTTTAGAAATTTGTGATCCAAAAGGGCCTAGGGAAAATCTTAAAGCTTTGAACAGAAATTTACCCTTTTTATATAATAAGAGAGAAAGTTGTCGTGTACTCTTTTAGCGGATCACTAGCCTTTGCCCTGGTTTAAGGTTTTTTTAAAACTGGTGGTAATATGTCTGTGCTATTAGAAACAGCGGTTTTTACCAATTATAGCGTGCTTGTTGGTTTCCTTGAAGACTAGTTAATTATTCAACCACTAGATAGTATTTTCCTTTATTGAAATTGGCTACACTCAGAGCATAATAGTTATATATAAAATTTAAAAAAGTTTATTGTTCTATTCGTTAACACTATAAACCTATCTAGCTAGAGCTTTTTGCTACAACCCTTTCGATAATTATTATAGAAGGTTGGATTCAGCTTAGTAGTTGCTGAGGAGGAGACGCTTTTTATACAAAAAAAATAAAAGCTAAGCAAAACGGAATTTAGCTTTTTTTAACCTAGAAAAATAATTCAGAACTTAGAAGTAAAACAACTTATTTCATAGAAAATAAAATAAGATTTTTGTTCCCACTTAGTAAGGTTATTTAAAAAGTTGTCGTTACTGTCGCTTTTAATTATCTGTGTTTGGGTCATCATTTATAATTGAATGCAGTAAAGTTGTTCGTTTACAAGAGTTATTACGACCAACATAACGATACCTAAAGCTTTTAAAGGTTATAAAAATTTTTAAAAATCTCGCCTAGCATACAGAAGTATACTTAAGCGCTGACAGTAATAACGACACATATCGAAGTTTTTCAATAATTTCTTGTTCTCGGTTTTCCTTCAAGAGAAAATTTTTTACCACGTAAGTTAATTTAATCTAACTTAAGATCGTGAAAATATGTAATTTT